AGCATCCAATCACCAATTACAGAAAAAAAGTGTAATACCTCCAGAGTCGCAAGGTTGTTGAGCAGGATTCAAGATAGCAGCATCAGCAGTAATAGGGGTTTAGTAGGGGTTTCAATAATTTTTTCAATAAAGGGTGGCTGATGATGTAATAGGCAGCTGTGCCCAGAAAAAAGTTGGTAAAATCAAAACATAAGAGCCAATTTTAAAGCCAGACAGACAATGGTAAAAGTTCTAATAAGCAGTGGTAAACTGCTAGTAACCAGCTTTTAATGAAACTACTGCCATAGTCAACCTTTATGAATAACTTAAGACAACTATTCTTCAAATTTGGTTTGTTCATAATTTCATACACACTTTTTAGGACTGGTGAAAAAAATAACTCTTAAAACATTTCACAAGTATGTGACCTAACACATTTTGAGTGTTGCAATAATTTTCATGACAACAAATGATTGCATGGACAACTGAACATTTTGGTGGTATAAACCACCCTGACTAGTGATTTAAATTAACCAAACATATTGGTAATAAACAACACCTTAGAGATAATTTTCATTGTAACCAGTAAGCCAGTTTTAGTTTCATAAGACACAAAAATTGCTGACAACATCTTGATTTCTTCATAGACTTGTTTATCCCATAGACTTAAGAAAAATCATGATGATGCATTTAAAGCTATAGTGAACATGACACCTGACTGGTGTTCCTGTTATGCAAATGCAATTCATAATTGGAATAGTCTCTTCAAATGTATCTTCCCTACACATAATTTGCCAGATGCACAAAACAAAACTGTCTGGAAATAAAAGGCTTCCAAAAAGTTGAAGAAGAAAGGACAGTGTACAAAGGAACCAAATACTTTAAGTAAAACCTAGGCTACCACAGTAGGAATTAAATCTGTTACTATTTCAAACCACTGCAACAAATATACGGGGTAAATATAATTGCAATTTGGTGCCATAACAATACAAAAAACGTTAGACTAGATTAAAATTATACTAATTAGGTTGTAAAATCATTGACCATAACCGTTTTAGTGAGAGTCAGTTTCAAATTTTAATCTCTTAGACTGGTGCAATTGTTAATAGTCTGTTGTGGTGTATACAAAAATTAGCATGCACAGACATTTAGAATCTGGTGGGAATAAATAAAAGAGCATTCAAACAATTTATTCAGATTAAAGAAAAAAAAGTTTATATAGGAAAGCATAGGGTATGAATACTTGAAAGTATGTGTACGGCAAACGATATTTAAATTCGTGTAAGAAAATGGTCAAAAATTGTGAGCGAAACTTAAACTAAACAAAATTCCGAGCGTTAAAGGTCAAACTAAACCCAGCAGTATCTTCCCGAGATAAAATGTTTCTCGGATTATGCTGGCTTAGTTGTTTTCTCCCGTTGTTATCGAAAGCTATAAACGAAATACAACACGCGTGAAGTCTATTTTGGGAAGTGTAGGAAAAGGGAATAAGTTTAAACACTTCTATGCCCAAAGAAAAAGCCTTACTTCAGCCAAAAGATACAACTCATTAATATTTCAAACAAAACCATTCCTAGTTGGTGGCCGCAGCGACAATGTTCTTATGTTTGCAGAGAGCACTTTAAACGTGTGTAATTAGATCACAAAACCTTTTTTCTTCGGCGTGGTTTTCTGGTTTTCATCGTCTCCAGACAGTTCGTTTTCAGCATTTTCTTTCTTATTAACAGAGGCCTTCAAAAAAAAAAAAAAAAAAGATTGAAAAACAAACGTTCAGCGAAATCAACAAAGCAAGTCGGTCGTAAATATACAAGGCTAAACATGAAACACAAATGCACATCTACATATCGTCCCTGCCGTAGTGATATTATAATTTGCGTTACCTTTCCGTCCTTAGAGGAAGCCGTAGATTCGCCAGGAGTTGGCCAATTTGTGATATCCGTGAACTCACTGCCCTAAAATTCAACAGACAGCAACACCTGAGCAAATGAATAACCCGCGTTGTGGCTCCATTGCGAGCATGTAGCAAACTAACCACCAACCCTATACCCCTGAGTTTCACTTACCTTGCCCTTGCGTTTAGCGGCTTTCACAACAGTTGGTTTCGCAGCTTCTTCTGAAAGAGATATACACACAGGGACTAAAAACGAGTTGTTTAAAAAACCAGTGGACGTAAAGGAACCTTTTCCTTTCGTACCTTTTTCGCCATTGCTTTTCAAGTGTCTTGTCCAAGGATTTTTCGGCGGGGGAGGTACTTCCATAGGATCATTGCGATTCCCCTCTTTCTGCGAAGTGTTTTCGCTTGAAATATCGTTGTCTTCTACTGCAGCAGTATGGTTTTCGACTTTGACGTGTTCTTCATCATGTCCACAACTGTTGTTAACTTGATTTTTACCCTCCACGATATCAAGTTTCGTCTTAGGAACGCTTTCGACTTCAGTCATAATACGGAGTTGAACGTGTTGTTACGTCGACGTATTTCAAACAATTCCACAAGGCAACCTTCAGCCGACGAACAACCTTGAACCCCACACACGAAGAGCAGATAGTCTCAGATTGTGTCCGCGAAGGTTTCCTGCGTTCTTCCAAAGGTAAACAACCTAAAATATCAGGCAAATTTACCGCTTTTCTTCACCATTCAGCCATGTGGCTAGAGAGACCGAATCTTGACTCCGCAAAACCTTAGTAGCCATGCGCGGAGCAAGTGATCAGGACTGCGAATGGACCAATCAGCTTCGACATTAGAACAAAGAAAGGAAATAAATAAAAGCTTGTCTTTGGGTCAGTCACAGGCTGTACAAATATGAAAGGACTACCCGTGCTTAGATGAAACATTAAAGACAAAATAATGGCGATACCTTCCTTACCTGTTGTATTAGAAACGTGAAGCGAATTTCTCGACGCCTTATAGCTCTAAGACGTGGAATACTCTAGCCAAACAAAAGAAATCAATTTGTCTGACGGTTTTTTTTTTATTTACGAGACGTTTACATCAAAGTGCTTCTTTAAAACTATAGGCGAAAAGTTTGATTATCTTGTCATGAATATTCATTACTGTTTTCTGACTGTTGAAAGCAGCTGTTTTCAACTGAAGAGTGTTTTCTCACCATATTATCTGAATTTCCGAAACTGGTACGACTGGGTCGGAAAAGGATTTGAGTCAGTCATAAGCTTAATTGGAAACAAATACTAAGTAAACTATGCGACAGGTTCGGGCTTCAGGCTAATCGTGCACTTTAATCGACTGGGGGATGCTTTAATTTTTTTGTGTGTGAAAACTCAAACAAGGGCAGTCAGGGAAAAGTTAGGACGGCTCATTTAAATTTTATCAGTCACCGCTCTTGATATTGAATTGACCTCTTTGGATGATCAATATCTGCCTAAATATTACAACTCATAAACCTTTAGATCACCGTAAAAAAATATAGTCTAGTCTGCGCTTCTCCTCTTGTTGAAACGTTTCTTGAAATTATCAAAAGAGTGTACTACATCAAACTTGAGTTAGGATGAACAAACGGTTAACACAATCTCATGTCAAATCAGTTTTCCTTAGCTGACTGCCCTGCATCAATATTTGAGTTGTGATACTATATATCGGGCTGTATAAAATATACTTTAGTATCTCTACACGTGGGGAGTGTACTCAGTCACGCGGCCATTCCCGAGAAATTCATAGCTAGGGGATCAAAGTTCCAGCAAATTTTTCTAAGATGAAGTAATTTCGTGTTTCATGCTTTAATTTTATTTGTGTCCAAGTCTGCCCATTTACGTTTGTCATTATCTTAGAGAAGGTTGCGGTTATCCATCGGGGTGACTACCCTTACAATGACGTATGCTCGTTTGTCTCAAAATGTTATCATTTCCGGAGTGGATCGTAGCGTTTCGACCGCATTTGACATCGAGTCTTCTTCAGGTGATAAGCTTGACAGGATACGCGACACCTTACAAACCACTGCGCTTAACTGTAACTAGCTGGTACTCAACAACTGTGATCACAGGCAGCCCAAACTCCAGCTGTGAGATGACCATCTTGCGTTATTAGAGTCGTAGCGAAAATATAGCAGTTACTATGGGAATATTTACGACCGCTCTTAGGAAGTAAAATGCAGACAGGTTTTCAATAAAAAAAAAACAGCTCACCTTACTTCCAAAGTGCATCGCTTGTTGTCTGACCGCTTACTATGTTTAAAAGAAACCATTTCACCGAGTTACCCATTTCTAGGTTTACTACTTCTAAGAGAAGGGCTCCTTCTCTTAGGAGCAGTAAATCTAGAAATGGATAACGCTCTAAAATGGCCTCGTTGCAACAAAGTAAGCGGTCACAAAACAAGTAATGTTCTTTGAAAGGAAGGTGAGGTATTTTTAATCGAGAATTTGACTCTATTTTTGATTCCTAAGAGGGGTCGTAAATATTCCCATACAAACTCTTATGACTCCTATTACGCAAGATGATCATCTCACTGCTGGAGCTTGAGCTGCCTGTGCTGTGATTAGCCTATTTGAAAGCGGAGCTCGCAGCGCGCGCGAATGGTGCAGCTAAACACCATTCGCAGTTTAAAAAAGTTGGTAGCCAATCATGAAGAGAAAATTTCGTAAAAAAGGACACTGCTACCGACCGTCTGTACAAGACGCTACTTTTAGCATGCGCGTTCAGGCCCACATCCACACTGCCACGTTCCTCGTGTTCATCGGACGACTTTGACTTAATTTTTATTCAACCAATCATATGGTTGAGAAAATAAATACAATTGTACAACCATTAATTTTAACCACTGTTCTGCGGCATTTTGTAACACAGCTCATTTTGTGATAAAGGTGGCAACATTTTGATTGAAGTGGATGTCCATTTCAATGGAAGTGAAGTTAAACCTTTGTTTGCAAGTAACGCAAGTAACGCTATATATCAAAGTTGTAGCCCTATAATCTGTCCATATCCAAATAATGAGGCCTAATAGTCATACTTTGTCACTAATTTAATAATATCATTTTTCCTTACTTGTTTGTATGTTTTTGTGACAAAGTTGATATTATTAAAATTTGCGTCACGGTGTTGTCACAAATTGCGTCGACAAACAATTACGACAAAATGATGCAGTTCTTACACCAAAATACGCAAACTAATACAAAATGCCGCAACCGTAGTTACAAAATACGTAGGTAATTACAAAAGGCGTCGTCATTACAACATGACGTTAAATCATCACCTTTATTACTATCGATATTCGTATGAAATCATGTGTACATATGGAGAGTCTTACCATTCCCTTCAAATGAAATAATTATATTTAACATAACCTTACGCTCTCAGGCGTATAAATACAGGTTTTGGCTTCACTCTTTCACTCCCAAAATCAAAACCTCAATTCTCCTGTCAGTTTTCCATTCATTTCTTTCAATTTTAGAACTGAGGATTTGGTGTTGGATCAAAGCATGTCACCTGGTTGATAGTCTTCGTACCTGCAAGTCACCTTTCTACATGAAAAGGTACCGATACTGTGAGGAGAAATTAATTTTTGGTCACTCCTGGGAGTGCAAGGATTAAAATACCAATGATGTCTTACATCCCTTCTCTGACCAATTTCAGAGCTAAATTTCCAATTTATCCAACACTAAAACGAGCTATTTTAAAAGTATGATAAAAGACAAAATAACTAATTCTCAAACTACCCTAAATCTTTGAATAAAAACTACCCTAGAATAGGCGCCCCTTAACCCTTTAACTCCCAGAAGTGATAAACATGTAACTTCTCCCTGAAGAATCCATACACTACCCTGCAGACAGATAGTGAGATAACTCAAACTTATCAGGTTCAAGATATTATCTTGATTGAACACCAAATTCTCATAACCAATTTACATAGAAATGTGGAGCAGCTAGAGGGGTGAATTACCAATCAGGTCTCGGCAGTAAAAGAGTTAAAATAACCTCCTGAAGCTTGCTATTGCACTATTTGCAAATTTGCTTCTTTACAACATGTTCCTTTTTCAGTTTGGCAAAATGCAAGGTTTTAAAACAAGGAGCTGCCCTGTTATTTTAAAATTCATGATTAACCCTGCATATTAATACACAGTCAATGAGGTCATCTATGAGCTCTCTCTATGGAAAAAAAATTCAAGTTTGAGAATACCTCTACCTTTGAATACAAAAGAAAAAGGAAAACAATTTCACCGAATGACATTAAGTTGAAAAATAAAACACTATATCATTTCTATCAAAAGGTTAACCCTTAAATATCAAAGACTGACCAGCATCTAATTTCTCCTTGCAATATCACCACTGAACACACATTGAGGTGACAAGAAGAAAGGAAATAATCACCAACTAAAGAAGCTCTTGATTGTTATACAAATTCTCCTTGTCAGCACCTTAGGAAATGTATAGAGAAAAGTATGGAGAATGTATACTTCCTCATCTCAAAAACTGGGTGTTCTATGGGCTGGAAGCCATACTTGATAAACTCTAGTCTTGACTCAGTCATATAATTATTTACAGTATGTACTTTAAAGGGGCTGAGTCACCTAACATCTTAATATTTCAACTGACCATTAACTATGGAATATATTAAAATACCATCAAAACAGCTCAGACCTTGAACTCTCACAATCTAATCTGTGCTTTTTATTACTTAATATTATTTTTGTCATTGTAAAGTAGTTAGGATCATATTTCTAATATCAAGATGATGCTACTAAGCAGATACAAATTGTCTATTTCCCCCACCTAGTTTGAGGGACAATGTACTGATGACATATGGAGAAATAGCAATAAAAATTTGCAATATAATTCTTTGTAAGCAAACAGAGGCAAGACTAGAAAAATTTGGAAGCTGAAAACCAAGTTAACTTGGAAAAACAAAGCAAAATCTTTCTTCAGTTTCATGTTGCTCATCTTGGGCAAAAAAAAGTCTTCTAACATTCATCAGAGGTAATATTAAAGTTAAGAGGTTCATCCAAATCTCTGTAACGTCACCTTGGATGCAATGCTGGTTCATTGCAAGTTCCCCCCACAACCCCCCCCTTTCATTTCATTACTTTTCCCTAACAGTTCCATAGAAACCATTTACACCTCTGAGTAAAAAGGGATACTGCAAGAGTAAAGTACCATATACAAGAACATGACACAGATCTGGTCTGGGATTGGAGCCAGATCTTCTGGCCCAAAGTCCAGCTGAACTATTTTTCATCATATCTTCCACATTCAGAAATGTTCTTTTTGTAAAATGTTTGCTATCCTAATTTTAAGTTTAGTGCTCACAATTAAAAAAAAGAAACAAACAAACAACAAAACAAAAATAAAACTAAATAGCTAAACAAAATGACCTTCCTTACTGTTGTCTACATTGCCTTAAGGACCTTCCTTACTGTTGTCTACATTGCCTTTAGGACCTTCCTTACTGTTGTCTACATTGCCTTTAGGATTTTCTTTTGATTATCTAATGGATAAATGCAAGGAAGTGGAAATTTTCTTTCTACTGGCATGATTTTACAACACTGATACTCAGGGTTGTTGCTAAGCACCAGCTGCCTGCAAAAAATTGGCCAGCAGTCACTTGGTGAAGCACAACAGGCACTTCTGACATAACGCATGTACAATTGTTCGATATCAAACACTATCATTGAGCTGCCTTACTTGAATTTTCAGCCACCAGCCTCTTTTCTTAGCTACAACCCTGAGCACATCACACTCCTAAGCATGTCACTGCTTTCCTTTCTCTGCAAGATGTATGTTATCATTGGTTCTGCTTTTCCCTTCATAGTAACAGGTCCTCGCTTTTTGAACACAAAACGATCATGTGGCTGGCACAGCAGCGATCTGAAGTGAAAGAAGGTGACAAATTGTAGTCATTAAATAACCTTTTCACTCCCAGAATCTAAATACCTTGATTCATGATCAACATGCAACATGTAAATTACTATCCAAATTTAAATTCATTATCAAATTAATAATAGCTGATGACTGAGGAGGGGGAAGGGAAAGGCCAAAATCCCTGCTAATGGAATCTCTTGGGTAGGAGGGAAAAGCCAAAATCCCTGCAGATGGAATCCTTGGTGTAGCATCCCTAGGGGTGGATTCAATAATAACTACTGGTGACTAAGGAGGGAGGAGGGAGGAGGGAGGAGGGAAAAGAGAAAAGGCAAAATCCCTGAGGGTGGTATCCCTAGGTTGGGATCCTTGGAGAAGGATTCAATAATTATGGTTGGTAACTAGGAAGGAGGGAGGGAAAAGGCAAAATCCCTAGGGTGGTATTCCTGAGGGTGGATCCAATAATTACAACTGGTGACTTATTAGGGAGGAGGGAAAAGCCAAACTCCCTGCAGATAAAATCCCTGGGGTAGGATCCCTAGGGGTATGATGACTAAGGAGGGGAGAGGGAAAAGCCAAAATCTCTGGGGGTGGTATTACTGTGGGGGATCCAATAAACATGGCTGGTGACTGAGGAAGGGGAATGAAAGGCCAAATTCCTTGGGGGTGGTATCTCTGAGGGACGTGCTCAAAGTTTGGGAGGGGGGAGTGGGGCTTTAGGAGACAAAATATGGGTTGGTTAACCTATAAACCTATAACTCAAACTCATTAATCCCAATCAGTGACAGACCTGTAGGCATATTCTGTCACATTTATCTTTCCTCTCAGTCCAGTAGTTTCTGTGCGACTTGTCAGGTTGACAGTGTTTCCAAATAGACAGTAGCGGGGCTTCTTCTGTCCAACAACGCCAGCCACAACCTCCCCAGAATGAATTCCAATTGTGATCTAACATGAGAAAAACACATCTCTTGGAGCTCACACATAAGTTATCATTTTAACTAAAATAAAAACAATCACACTTTGAACAGCCCCAATTCCATGTAAGCATGATTGCATCTGCTGACTTTTAAAGACGTACTATTACCTGCATCTTTCTACCACGTGCATTCACTTCCTGAACAATGTCGATCATGTCAAGAGCAAGATTTGCAATGTTAGCAGTATGATTTGTGCACCTTGTTGGCAACCCACTCACAGCCATGTATTTGTCTCCAACTGTCTCAACCTGTAAAATGAGCATAAGGTAAGGTAAGGTAAGGTAAGGTTATGCCTCACATCATGGGGGGAACCAGGTTGTACTCCTGGGTAGAGGAGGCACTATGAAAGTAAAATGCCGTGCTCAAGAACACAACACAATGACCCAGCCTGGTCTCAAACCCAGGATTCTTAACCCAGAGTTGAGCCTGCTAAGAACAAATAGCATCTTTTCTTCTCAAGGAATAAAATAAGTCATAGTATTGTTTTGCCTCCTCAATTGAGTCACAGATCCATCTCAGATTATTCCCCCCCCCCCTCCATCTCTCACTGAGTTTCCAAAATATCTCTTTCACACCTATTCATATTCCTCATTGGAAATAGGCAACATGTCTGGCAAAAGGACACAATACAATGACCACCTCTGGGGCTTGAAAGCAGCTTCTCCCTTGCCTGCTAACAGGCTGCCTCCTACGCTTAGGGCAGGGAAGTCTTTGGCCAGAATTAGCTTGGTTTTTCAGTAGAGACAATTCTACTAAAATAGCAATGTATACCTGTTTTCCTGAAAGTTTTTGTTCTTATATTGTACCTTAAAAACTTCATTGTTCTTGTCTGCCAGAGCATCAAACCTGATATAGGTCTCATTCAAAAGTTCCACAATTTCCATTGGTTCACTGCTCTGATTACAATAATTTGTAAAATCCACAATACCACTGAACATAATTGTCACAATCTCATATTTTTTGGCCATTACTGGTCGCTTCAGTCTGAGGTCATTTGCAACTGATGTCGGTAAGATGCTGTAGAGGAGTCTATCAGTAAGCTGCTGCTCCTGCTGCAGCTCACGTGAGGTCTGCTGAAGCTTGTCAGTCAGTATCTCTAGTCGCTGAGAAAGACGTGATTCTGCATTGTGCTGTTCAGAGAGTAGAATGAGATCTCTTGTGGCATCGTGAATTGGAATATCACTCAGGTACAAACCTTAAGAGTAAATAAAAACAAGTATCAATATTTGGATTCACATGGGCTGTTATGGGAGCCAGATGCCACTAAAATTTACTTGACAGGAATGATAACAAGATTCTCCTTCACATTTTGCAGAAAGCAGACCTTAACCTCAATAACCTGAACCTAAGTGAATAACTACATACTATATGTTCAAAGTATAAAGACTTTGAAAGAGAATTTGTATTGTGACCATGGGGGTTATGGGTTTATAGACTATGAGCAATCCCTGCTTTTGACAAAGTCTGTTGTGCAAGTAAAACAAAATTATAAAAAAAAAAATTGATGTAACCAACTCAAGTGATGGACCTCACAGAAAAGGACGAACTGCTCAAAGACTAATGGTTTTACGTAAAGTGAATCATACCAATTTCATTGAGACCATCCAGGTTGAGAACACTTGGAGAACAAAGGAACATGATGCTGTCACATTCAGGAAGGTACATCATTTGACCACGAAATCTCATCGTAGGAAAATCCAAGGTACCCACATCATCTTCAGAAACTGTTGTCAAGGTAGCAGAGTCTAAAAGTCCTTCTTTTGTTTTAACAACATATACCTTATTGATAAATTGTAAAATGTTATCAAATGTCAGTGAAATGTGAGGACGAATACATTCAAACACTTCTTCCACTTTAGTTTCACCAACTTTAATGGAAGGCAAAACTCGCAGCAATGAAATTCCAGCTTGGTAAATAACCATTTCATTGTCAAAGAGAATATGAAAGGGACATGCTTGGCAGAAAGTCTGACTACTGATGCAAGACCCCAATGTAACTAGCTCCAACTTCTGTTCAATCTTTTGAATCTGCTCGTCGTGTTGTTTAAGTTGCATTATATCTTCATAGTTCTCAGGAGTAACAACAATCTTAGACCAAGTCTTCTCCTGGTTTGTAGACACAGCTACCTCAACATTCACCTTTGCGTTGTAGACCTCTCTTGCCACGGCTTTCACAACACCAACAACCATATACTCAAGGCCTGACCTTTCAGAATAGTAATAGATTTCTATCCCACTGCCATCCGGACTATCTTTGGCATTAAATGAAGGTGCTCTTATACCAGGGAAAATATACAGCAGATGCTCGTGCAGTGCATCTAGACTGTTGAAAAAGTCCTTTAAGTTGCTTCCAAGACTATCCAGCATCTTCTCGTAGCCAGAGTTTTGGCAGTACTCAAAGAATATTTCCCCAAACTTCTCCAAGATCACATTGTGCGATAGCCCTAATAAAAGTTGGTAAGACAAATTAATTATATTCAAATAGCAAAGTTTGTAGATTAAAATTTTAGTATGGGTCACTGCTTAGAGAAGAATAGGCTTAAAATCCTAAGGGAGAGGAAGAGGGCAAACTAAGTTATAACAACATCCAAGGGATATTGTTTGATTTAAAAACCAAATTCTCAGATAGTACATTAATAGGATATATGGCAGTCAAGAAGGAGAATGGAGAATGAGATCTTGGCACTGAAGGGGTGGAACCCTAAATGCTCCTGAAGACAAAAAGAATTTGCTTAAATCCAAAAACAATGTGTTGTTTGGCAGCTGCAAGAGTCAAAATCAAATAAAAGAAGGCCTTACAGATTAATCTGTTGGAAAAAACACAGATTGTCTTATGCTATGTGCAAAAGGTATTTTTCATCTGAAGTAGTTGTTAATGCTGGTGTCAATTTGAATAATCTATTGTAAGACGTGTCAAAATCGATCTACTGCAATTGTCAAAATTGTCATCACATAAGTTGTGGAACAGAAAGACAAATCCCTCCTCTAGAGAATACCCTGAAATTTTTGCGCCATTATACTTTTTAACGTACCATACTAACTCGCGGCATTATTTACAAGCATGGATGAGTAGCTTGATGTACATAAATGCTTGATCGCATTAGTCTTTGTTAAAAAATAAATTTTGATTAGCGCACGAAAGAATTCATTTGGCTTCTTACTGCTTTAGCATTACTAATAGAAACTGCTCTTTTAAAAAGTTTTGTCACAAAGCTTTCTCAGAATCTAAATGAATCACTTCTAGAATATGCATGTAATTTGTAGTTGTGATTGAGAAAGTTGCAAACCCCCAAGCTCTTTAGGAAACAAAAACAAGATGTATGCAAAAAATATGAATTTTCTCCCGATCCAGTCTATATAATTTTCTTTTTCACAACGTTAAAACTTGTCTTAAGAGGTCATCTCGGCTTATAAATACTCTCTGTCCAAATTCGCAAACAACACTGCCAAGTGATATGATTTCGTGCAATTGCTTTTAATTCACCGTCACATTCAGAACTAAACCATTCCACAAAGGCATAAATAAATATAAATAATACCGCAATTTCTAACGCGTTGACCAGCATTTGCCGATATTTAGCTTCTTCAGAAAACGAGGGTCATCTATTCAACCACAGATCCGGAGACAGGTAATAATAGAAACCCAACCGTGACCATAACAGTGAGCCAATACAAGAACCAAATGTAAACTCACCCAGAACCTCCGAAGCGACTCTTAGCAGGTCAAACGTATTTTGATCATCATATATTCGCCGTTGATTGAATTCTCCTGTTTCTCCTAAATCGATATTTGCTTTCTTCCTAAGGAGATAAAGATTAACAGTAATCAATCACGCTTAAGCGAAGTTCTCGCTTTTATGGATACACGAGCAATGCAGTTGTTTCCTTCGCGCGAGATTCATCGCTTGCGCGCTGTAAAGCTGATCACAAAAAGCAGTACACAAACGAAATCTGTTTTGTTATACATACAGTATTTCTTCCCAAGTTCCGAAGCTGCTCTCTCGCAATACTAAATCTTGCAAAGCTTGGTTTACAAAGCCGTACATGGTCACAGTTCGTCAGGATGCCAGGCGAAGATGTACACAACCCGAGCAGTCGATAGATGTATCAGCTAAGGAGCAGAGTTGACACTGGACACTTTCTAGTGACACTGATAATAAACGTCCATAACAAATGTCACCTATTTTGCATAATAATGGTCATTCTCATTAATACAAATTGTTTCGATTGGTTCAGACTCGTACATATCCGTTAAGATAAGCTTACCTGGAAAGAATCAAATCTACTGATATCGCCGAAAAAATGACACTTTAAACCAATATTGTTATTTGCTGATCAACCTCATACTTGCTACATTGGCCAGGCGTCAAAAATTTGGAATGGCGGGAATTTGCTAGAGAAAATAACACTCACCTCAAACGACCTGCATATCATATCGCATTTGACCATCTTTAAAGATAATGTTGGAGCTCACCTTTACATTCTCCAACATTGTTCCTTTACCAGAAGATAAAAAAACAAAAAAACAAAAAACAAAAAACAAAAAAAAACACTTACGCCAAAATGAGGGAAGAGACAGACGACATAAAAACTCTTGAGGGGTGGGGTAGGGGAGTTACAAGCCAGTTCAGTGAATAAGACGTATTCCTTTGCGGTGAGAACAGACGACCTGCTCAAACTATCCTGTGATATGGAAATGCACAGATGGAAATCTCGTAACCGCCGCCTTAATGCACCGATTAAGTTCAGCTGTTCCAAGTAAACAACTGGAAGACCCCCCACCTTGTTTTCCTCGCTTCAGACCTCCGCTACGCTGTACCGCATATCCGGATATTGTTGAAAATAGAAACTGTATTTTTTTTTTCTCCGTTTTCAAAAAGAATTCGCACCTACACGTGGTGTTTCCGGATCGATTCCTTTCCGCTAAACGGGAGGGAAGCAAAAGATTTACAAAAGAGAACAAACACTCAGGTCGCCGTTTTCCAAAATTCGTTTCAGTCCTTCCACTAAAAAACGACAAGCCGGCGTTTGTAAAAGAGAACTGTTAATGACAACCTCCGTCTTTGAAAATGTGTGTTAAAAATCACGAGACACTATCTCCTCCCGACTTTTTAAAGCATTAGAGGGCAAACAAATAGTTCACAAAGTAGGCAGTTTAGTCATGCAGGTTCAACTGCCAGTCAAACCCGTCCTTTGCGAATTCTCGAGAAATTCTTATGGAGCCACAAAATGTGCTTCTCCCTTGAAAGGTGATATATGCTTACCGCAAGAATGCATGTTCGGGGGGGTTGCAGGGGGGGGGGGGGAGGGGTTCACTTTGACTCTTTGAAAATACCAAATATTTGACATAAAAATTTTGTAATCACTTGCTAATTCACCCAAAAGACTGTTTCAAAGTTTATTGAGAAAAATAAGTTATTGACCAAGCGTGAGGTCAGGATAATGCATTAGTACAGGCTTGCTTATCCAACCTACTCTAAGAGAGCAATTTTCACATTAGCGTCGATATTAATCTGACATTGCATTGTCCTTGCTTACTATGCTCTGTGAATCACCACTCTCTCAATCAATCAGATGTAAAAATAACACCACTCATGACTTGATTGCTCGCGTTTTTCCCGCACTTTAGGCGGTTTGAACATCAATCACGACTTGGTTGCCCGCGTTTTTCCCGCGCTTTAGGCGGTTTGTTTGTTTGTTCTTCAAGTTCTCATTGGTTCTTCAGGATCTTTTCCTTCCTTAAGATTGGCAGTTGCGATTATTTTCGTTTTGGTTTTTACGACATTCAATCGAAAAGCGCTCTTATAACAGAATACCGAAAATGAAAGAAACATCAGTCACAAGTTTCGTTATGATATTGTTATTTAAATGAAGGTTCAATGTTTTCAGTTTTTTCAAAGTTTAAGATTTCACAAGCCCGCGAAAACGGGTTCCTGTTAACATTGTCACACAAGTGTTGACTTGCTTTTCATTTAAAGTGTCTTTAAAGGATTCTGAACGAGAGAAGGAATCATATATTCACATACTTAGGCAACAACTGAATGAAATAATTGTACGCTAAATCTGTGGCAGTTAAAAAATATAGCTCTAGCCATTTTTATATTCCTAAGATACATCTGCAGGGGCCTTAGATTCGAGTATTATTTACACTGCGTAAATTACATATGACTCTGGTCAGGAGTAATCTTATATTACTTATATTCCTTACACTCCAAGAAATGATTGAAAATTAGCTTCTCCTCACAATTTGAATACAACTTCCACCAAAAAGGTGATGAGAAAAGACATATTTATACACAACACCAAATTCGCCGATAAATTAAAAGAGACTGTATGGCAACCAAAATAACTGCCAAATAAAGGTTTCAGAAGATCTGTCAAGGTGCTCCAAAACTTCGATTCTTCAATGATGCAGAGAAATTATTTAGGTCTTTTTTTAAGTGTATTTAGTAAGCTTTTGTACAACGCAAGTGATCTCACAAATTGTCGCTTAGCAACGTATCGAAATTTTTTCATAACGCTGATGAAAAGATGTGGATTATTGTAAATTTTTCAGCTAAATTTTTAAACATTTCGTTCGTTTATCTCTTGTATAAACCTAATGATTCAAAAAATAATAATTTTTGAAAAAGAATGGCGACTTTGTGTCTGAAGTCTTAGATCAGTTCATGGGTAAATACTGCTTCAATGGTGCTTGCAACTCGGAAACAATGACTTCTTATTCCTCATCTTGAAAACTTGGGTAGCTAATCGTATTTACATCCTATTTGGAGGGGTAATTTCCTGGGAGCCCCGCTGGCGGCCACGCGGGGAAAGCCCGTTTCCTCTGTGCCTTAATTTTCTCAAAGAAAAAGGTCTACATCCACAGAAGACGACGAATAGTTCCCTAACCTAATTTCTTCCAATGAAAGGGACTGAGTACTAGCCATACGCCTCAGTTATAACGTAGTCTCAATTTTTTGGCTTAGCTCTACCAATTCCGTCAAGGACTCCTCATCCATTCCGATCAGGGAAGCGTCACCATTGATGTTTTTAATGTCAAGATTACTGTCCTCTATTTCCTCGTCATCATCCGCAGCTTCGTCAATACTGTCGTCTCTGTTGAAGCTGTTGGCTTTGCGCACAGGACACAGAGAGGTTACCGTTATTCTCCGTTTCTTAGTGTTCTTGTTTCCTTGGTCCTTTTTCAAACTTTCCAGCCGTTCGTTAACCGAGGAGGCGAAGTCAACCGAGCTGATTCTTCGCTGGGGCGGGCCGTCTGGGGAGCTACTGCGGTAAGCGGCAGGTCCTGTATCACTTCTTCGCTTCATCGCTGGAGAGTGCGTCGGAGAAGTCCTCGGGGACCGAAACATGCAGATGTTGTTCGGTGCAACGGATGCAGCGATATCCAGAATTGACATTTGTTGTTTTGCGTTCTTGCTCCTGATCAGGAAGAAGCATGGTAGTGGGTTGGGGATCTCCGTGTTAGGAATGAACTCGAATTCAGAGGAACCTTTGAGAAAGCTGTACAGAAGGAAACGAAAAGCATCTATAGCTAATATATTTTAAGTGCTTGAGTCCACCACGGATATCATGTCTTCTCAGAATATTACAAAAATCGCTTAATCTGTCAATCAATCAATCAATCAGTATGTCTGTCGATCAGTCAGCGAGTCGGTTGATTGGTCAATGAGTCAGTCAGCCAGCCGGCCAACAAGTCAGTAAGCTAGCAAGTAAGTCAACCAGCCAGTCAGTCAGTGAGTCAATCTGCCAATCAGCCAGTCAGCCAGTCAGCCAGTCAGCCAGTCAGCCAGTCAGCCAGTCAGCCAGTCAGCCAGTCAGTCAGTCAGTCAGTCAGCCAGTCAGTCAATCAGCCAGTCAGTCAGTCAGTCAGTAAGCTAACAAGTAGGTTAATCAGACAGCCGGCCAGCAAGTCAGTGAGCTAACGAGTCAGTCAATCAGTCAGTCATTCAGTCAGTTAGCCAGTCAGTCAGTCTGTCAGTAAGACAGTTAGTCAGTCAGTCGCTCAGTCAGTCCGCCAATAAACCTCTCAGTCAGTCATTTAGTCCGTCGCGCAGTTAACAAATCAATTAGTTTGTCTGTCAATGCATCCGTCAGACAATCAATCATTCAGAATAGCTTTGTTTTTAAGTATCGGAAATCTTGGAATTTAATGAATAACATGATTCTCATTACAAGCCTACTTGTCCCTTTGCCGCTGTTTTCGTCAGCTCTTATTTCTCCTCACCGTTTAGTCTCGTAGCTGACGTTTATGTATCCTGGTTTGCTTCCCGATTCCATCTTGTTCGCCAGTGTGACAGTGCTTCCAAACAAACAATAGCGGGGCATCATTTTGCCAACAACTCCAGCCATAACCGACCCACTGTGAATTCCGATTCGAATCTGCCAAAGAAATAAACGTTCCCAGTGATTCCCATGTTACCACAATTTGCCTCGGCTGACCTTGCCGCGGGATTGAACTGGGGGTGGGGTAGGGGGGATGGTCAGGAGGGCTACCTCTTGTTTGATAAACAGACATCCCCCTTGTTCACTTTCAACGAGTCTCCCTCGAACTTAGCTACTTGCGCAGTAGTGCTAAATTAATGACTTCCTGCAAACTTTGGCTGCCTGTAAACTTTATAACCTATGACAGACTCCTAGTGAGTGAATACGAGCAAGGAAGAAAGATAGGGGGGTCGTCATCACACAAATTTTCCCATCGCATCGCATCGCATCGCATCCCATCCCATCCCATCCCATCCTTGCCATTTGCCACTAGCCATGGGTACTTGCTCCACACCCAGATGTCGTGCGCCTTGGAATACGGGATGGCGCATTGGGCGTACCGAAGTTATGCTCATCTTTCTCGGAACCGCTCAAGAAACGAAAGTTCTGTCTCTTGAATTATCATATGTGTAATTAGTGCAAATCACATCTAATACCTTGAGAGGAGTTTTGTCAACAGGCGACAAAACCTTTCGAGAAGCTTCCATCATCGAGCATGCCATGTGAGCTACTTTCTCTGCATGATTGTCACATGGCTTTGGTAGACCTCCAACAACCATGTAAGCGTCACCAATTGTCTCCACCTAAGTGATGAGAAGAAACAACTTGGAGAATGAATACATTACCACTCTTGCTTTAATAACTGCTAAGAGAAGAAAGCTGCAGCTAAGCCCCGCGGCAGGCGAATCTATAAATACAACGGTTACTAAGCTAAATAAAGAAAAAGCACTTTCAAACCCTAATCCTATGCGTATCTGAGAACAATGGGAGGAAAGTGTGACTCTAAACTAAACAACCCTATTCCTAACTCAACATTGAGTGATCTCTGAGAAATATCTTACTCACAGAACGAAGGCAATACAAAAAACAACACTACATGAAAGCACGAAGAAAACGAATCGAACTTCGTCATAATCCAAAAATTAAAGTGAAGGAAGAGAACAATTTTTATTCCCAACACCTGTGGGGGAAAAAAATTGGTGGATGCTATTTCAAAGTCATTGTTTTTAAAATTATTTAGTTTACACATCGATTGTCCATGGAGAAAGACCCGTTTTGGTTCTTTTTATGCCAAAATGAATAATTCAAATTTTATCGGTATTATAAAAGTGATAAAGGCAAAATTTAATTTTAGTTTCGGCTGTAAGTTGTTAAGTACACCTCCTCTTCAATCCTAGGGATAAAAAAAATTAAAAATTAATCTTGAAAGGATCTAGGCCAAGGAGCGGAAGACTATTCTGATTGGAGATAAATTTTAAAAATGTTTTTCTAATTTTCATTTTCCTTTTTTTGCCAGACTGAAGTTAGCTGAGTTAGGCAGTTTTTTTTTTTTTTTGCTATACAGATAAAGCAATAAAACACCCCTGAAACTTCAAAGGCATTACAGATTATAAACATTGAAACCACATTTTTCTCGTTTTTGATGATAAAGGATAGAAATGAAGTGATTTAAGATTCTGACTGTAACTTTGTAGTTTAAAGGGCATTTGAGTCGTTTTTCTTTTCTCTCGTTCAGTTCTGTTGGGTTCCAATCAATTTTCATTCATAAGCTACAGAATCCTAGCAATCAACGCATGCAAATTCACTCCAAAATGCCGCACCTCATGATGAGATGACCGTCTTTGATAAGATGCGGCTATGGACCCAATAAGGTCTTAAATGATGATTTTGTTGGATCAGATAAATGACATAGCTAATTCTAAATACTGATTTTGTATCCTGCAAAAATCCTTTCGCTCAGAGCGCGTAATGATTACAGAGGTAAATTCAAATCTCTCAGAACTCGTTGTCTGCTCCATTAACCGCCTACAGCCAACGTTCGATGTTCCCGTAAAAAAATACAATGATTAGTTTTTTAAATAAAGCATTAACTGTAAACACAAAAAAATTGCCCGTAGGCAGCAGGTTGTCTGTTTGTTATAAATAGCACGGAAACGTAAAAACACGCGAAGAAAAATATATTGATTAATCTATCAGTGTTATTTATTCGTTTCCCTTGAGAAACCTTAGATCTTTCTCCTCGGATTACTCCCAAGCTATGAGCACTCCATGTGATCGAGAAAATGTGAACTATAGATTCAGTTCAAACTCCTTAAGAAATATCTTGTCACTTCGCATATGAATAATCTATAAATTTTGTCAGTTCATGCAAAATTCATAATTTAAACTGCAAACTAAAAATAAACGGAAAAACTGATGAAAATGAGATCTATTGGAGTCTTCTTTTCATAGACACTCCCACACATTTGAATTGAAAAATGAGAATTTTTTTTAATAGGCGCCAAAACTTTGCACATATTGGCATAAAATTATTAGTTTAATAAAGAGGCCCTTCGTAAATTCGACAAAACTTGACAATGTCCGCGTTGATAATCTTAATCTTAAACATTATCTCGGTATAGATGGAAGACATATTATTTTCTATTACCGCTAACCATGATTAGACTATCATATACAAAAAAAATAACATTATTAATTTGAAGCGTAAAAATATTATTCCTTCGAAAATAGTCAAAATAACTGATGACAAAAAAATGTTATGGACTTTTCAGTGTAAATTTTGTACACATTAAAACCATGCTGATAAGCTATTAATTTCTTGGAAAAAAAAGACGAAAACAGAGATTGACGTTTGGAGGGTAATAAAGAAAACTTTTTATCACTCGATCTCCAGTGTAGCGTTTCCACTTGCCTTTAGGGATTTCGTAAGTGGAAAATCGGAAAAAAAATCCCTCTTATATTGAAATAGTAGGTTACGTATTGCTATTGAAAATGTGGTTTAATGAATGCCGTATGTGCGTGCTTTGTTTTGATTTAAACCTTAAGCTTTTAATCTTTCTGCTTTCCTCTTGGATGCAAATAAACATTTTGTTCTGGTGGAAATATCCGGAGTCGAAATTGCAGAAGAGTTCCAACAGAGAATATAAGTTTTTTTGGCCGTTGCAAACTGAAGTCCATTGCCAAAATATAAGTTTATCGTGAAGATAAAATAATTTGCTACGTGGGGTCATAGCCGAAGAGAGATGGCAAATAAAACGCTTTTATCCAGGATGTCTCAAAAGCGTCTCAAAGAAGTGGGACTGTCAAAGTAGTCAAATATCAAGGGAGGCGATATTTGCATAAAAAGTTTGGACAAAAAATAGAGATGATAAGAAAAGAATATTGTGTCGATGAAAATGAATGCTGCGGCAAACCTTTCAGTATTAATTATTGATAGTAATGCGAAAAGAAATACGAATTAAGATGCTAAACGATAAGATTCAGACAATAAAGGCATAAAAGAGACAGATTTCTGTTGTTTGACGCGTCTATAGAAATGTGCGAACAACGAGAACAGACAGTTGTTTGCAGAAGAACTGACAGAATTTAAAAGAAATATTATCTTCGCGTGTGTGTGACAGTTACATCTCAGGCGCGAGACTCAAAGAGATCAGCGTTGTCATCGCTAATAAAATATAAACCCGCTAAAGGAGATGAACGGAGATCGAAGGTTTATTATAAACAACAGAGCCACCAACGGTGAAAAAAAGTCGCAGGCTTAGTTTTGCAGCGTTTTGTAAACACTTGTCAATCACAAACGACCATCTCTCCCACAAACACAAAAGCAGATTTAAAGGGCAAAAAAGAAGTTTATTATTCTTACCTTGTAAACATCGTTCATCCCACTCAACATGTCAAAGTAGGTGTAAAGTTTGTTCAGCATCCGCACGATGTCCATGGGAACAATTTTGTCGTCGGAACATAGCGCTGTAAACCCGACGATGTCGCTGAAAAGGATCGTGACCAGCTTGTAGTTTTCCGCGGGCACCGGTTGATTCAACCGCAGTTTAGCCGCGACTTCTTGGGGCAGAATAGAATGCAGCAATTCGTCTGTGCGTTTTTTGTTTTCCGTCAGTTTAACTTCCAGTTTCTTCAGGTCGTTGCTAGTTTCTTCCAACTTTTCCACCAATTCTCGCTCGGCTCTTCTCGCCTGTGACATAAAAATCAAGTCACGCGTAGCGTCGTGAACAGGTATATCGTTGAAAAAAATACCCAGATTCTTAAAACTGTCTAAGTCATTTGCCCGAGGAGAACACAGAAATAGAATACTGTCGTTCTTGGGAACGTAAATCATCTGACCCTTGAGGCGTAATAATGGATTTGCAATGCTCGTTCTCCGATCTTCTGGACTGCCTGACACGTTGGACACTGTATCCGCCGCAAATCGCAGCGCGGACTGTTTTACTGTTACAATAAACACTGTATTTATATGCGCAAGAACAGAATCAAACGCAAATTCCATACGCGGTCTTGACAGTTCAAAAATTTCCTTGAACGAAAATGAATTAGCAGTCGTGAACCGTTTGTCCAGAAGGCGCATCATGGCAACCCCAGTTTGCGTGATGTTGAGTTTACGATCGAACATCACGTGAAATGGAAAAGCTTTGCAGAATGACAACAAACTGAGCCCTCCTCGCCGTTTCTTGCCCATGTTTTCGCTATCCAATGACATCATTGCACTATGATTATCTGCCATGGTTTCTAAATCAAAGGCCTGTAGCCCAAGCTTGGATTGCGTTGCATTTGTGCAGCCTGTCTCTCTGATTGAAAACACCACATGCCCACGTTCGTCTGAGCGCGCTTGCTGCACGCACACCTCCACCTCGGTGTCGAGCATTTTATTCGCTACCGCTTTAACGACTCCAATAACGATGTGCTCCAGCCCTTGCCTCCGTGAGTAGTAGTGGAGGAGCAATGTTCCATCGGGCGTCTCAGTACAGCGAAACGACGGTGCTTCCATTCCTGGGTAAATCGTAGCGAGATGGTCGTGGAGTGCATCCAAGTTACATAAGAAATCTCTCAGATTTCTTCCCAGCACCTTCAGAATCCGATCATAGCCGGTCTGCAGACAGTAGTCCAGAAAATGTGAGCCAAAAGCTTCCAAAACAGCGTTCAGAGGCAGAGCTGTTCAAAATAAGTTTACGAAGCAGATTTTCAGGGTTTTTTTGTTTTTATTAAAAATTTCAAATGTAAGATGCACAGAGCTCGCGAGATAAAATTACTTATGCGATAACCCTGGTTTCAGACCGAGTGGAATGTTTGTTAAGGCGATTTACGGTATATCAGCCCATGCGAACTTCGTGTATCTCAAAACCTGTTTGTAATCAATAAAATACGAGCTGAACAGTTTACTATATTGCATACCTAGAGTCTCGCAAGCCGCAGCGACCAAACTCAAGGTCTCCTCATCATCGTAAATTTTGTGAATAAGGTATGATCCGCCGTCCAATTCTACCCCAGCCTTCTCGCTGAAGAGAAAAACAAAAAGAATATAATTGCACCATACAGGACCCTTTTCCACTTACAATCCATTTAAGCGTTCCAAAAGCTATTATTGTCTCCTTACACGATAGATCGCCAAACGTCTTCGCCGAACTTAGAAACGACCAAGTCAGCTAGTGCACAGTGAATGAATCCATACTGCGAGAGAAACAAAGATACAGTTGGTAACACGCTACACAGATAACTCAAGCGATCTTTGAAAACGAGAGCAAGGAGATCTTACCATATTTCTGCTGCACTCGAGAAGTTCAGCCCTCTGTGTCAAATTCGCGGCGCTCTCTTAATGATTTTCCTGATTGTTTTAGGTGTTAGTCACGTGTCATTGTATCTACCAAAGCATCTAGGCTGTAATTACTGATAGCTCAGGAAATCCAATCGCCTTGGAGTGTCTTTGTCAATAAGACACCTTAGCATCGTATCTGCAAAGCAACCGGCTTGTCAAAATTTACTAAGACTAATTGCGCGTCCTCAGCTCAAAACATCTGATATTGCATTTGCGTTTGCCAAAGTATCAACAAGGCTTATAGTGCAAACTTCACACGATAGATAAGCTTTAATTCGCACGAAACATAACAAAGTCGAGGACAGAAATTCTGATTTATTCATCCAATTTTCTCCGCATTCTCCGCATTCAGTTCCCAGAGTAAACAAACAATTCGCTCTGCAATACTTTAGGTGTCGAAGTCTTATCGCGTAGAATATCTTTCCTGTGTCCTTCCATATCAGTAAGCACAATTACCTTTTTCTGCACGTTTTTTTGCGATTATTCAGAAACGATAAATTGTCGTCAGCGATCGCGAACTCTGTTTCATAACGCGTAGGTCAATTAGGGATTTAAAACCCTCGAGGCAACACAAAAATGTGACGCCACAATGAAGGATTTTATTGCCATATCTTTGTAGTTTGATATAAAACATCCTGATTGAACAGGCATCGTGACAGCTTATTGTGTGCGAAGTACCATCTTGTACATGAACAATTCTGAAAGTTCAAAACCCAGTTGCTCCTAAAATTAAACATGTGATATTTATGAAAGCGTCCCGTTGGGGCAATAAAATCTACGGATATTAAATGCCCTCGTGCTTGTTGCGTCTTGTAAATACGGCCATACGTGTTTTAGCTTAACTGCTCATGGACCAAATACGGTTACCGAAAAGCCATTAATATAATTATTTGTCAAACGAGTGTCATTTCTTTGCCCGCTCGCGTCGAGAATCCATAAATGCATAATGAACTCGACGACCTCTTGGTGAAAAAAATTGAATGAGTCGCCCTTATTTTGACGTTAGTTGCGAATATTCGAAAGGCTTCAACGGTTTTCATGACAATGTGCGTTTTAAACTCACGGCGTTAGCTGGCGATTTATGTAGTTAAGAAGACACAGAAAAGATCTATAATAAAATAAAGTAAATTGAATACTTCACATTTACCGAGGTTGCTGTTGATATCTTATCAATCTGTTTCGGCTTTCAATAACCACTTTGCGTCGAACTGGTATGCTGGAAACACTGGTGGTAATATGTTGGATCAATAGCTTTATTCTAGGTCCACCGAAAAACCAGTTCACAGAGGCACTGTGCCTTGATTTAGAAATTACTTTGGCAAAAGTTCGACATGAAACAAATCTTTCCAGGCGCGATTTTTTGTAAACTACGGAAGTTCAATTAACGCATGAATGGGCTTACCTTTTGAGAGCTTTAAAACGAATTCTGTTTGATTTAGTCCACGCATACACAGCCAAACCTCGGCAGTGCCAGTCAGAAGTATAGAGAAGAAGCAGATTTTACTCCTTGACAATCACAGTATTCATTTAGTTCCTTTAAATTCAAGTGAATATGACCTACGTAGAAGCAACCGCGGTTGCTAGGTAGCGGTGGGCTGAGGGAAGTTCGTAATTTGAATAAACGTTTTAAGGCTGAAAGGATGTAAATTTTTAGCGCGAAAATAGCAGTGCCACGTTACCCTATAGAAAATAAGTAGGAAAGTGTTTTTATTTTGTTATGTAGCTTTTCCCTTTACACAGTTTGTTATACAAAATTAGTAAACGTTTTTTTAACGGTCTCGGAAATTCCGCGGAAAAGTGACAAAATTGAATTTCAATACTATCGATTTCAGTACAAAAGATTCTCCATTTAGTGCGCATTTGGAATCCATGTGTTAAAAAGGTTTTTGGAAAGGACTTTCATTGATTAATGGAAAACAATATCGGGTATCATAGAATATTGAAGCAAAGGTAATGAATAAAATCTCGTAGAGAAAATACCCAACTTGTGGATCGCTTCTAATATTTACACAGATCCTATGTCGGAAATCTGACACAATCGGTGATTTTGAAATTCATTACGTGAAGGAGCTCCTGGTACAAAATCTGATTTCATTGGCTACCAGTAGTGTAAACCCATCCACGTTAAGTCCCGGTGTTCTAAGTAAGCACTTTATATTCACGGCTATCAATTATAAATCAAAAACACATGTGAAAAGCAGAATGTCAAAGAAAATGTTTTTATGTAATTGAAAAAAAGTGCAACTCGCAGGTGACAAGAAAAATAACAACATTATCGGCCACACTTTCCTTCGATGTGACTCTGATACAAAACATTCGAAGGGATAGCTACTTAACCAACAAACTCAGCATTCTTTTGTAACTCACGAAATAACTCCAATTCACAAACCTCTCTCTTAAATTAACTAAAACCATCAAAAGTGATTTCTCAGAAATCAGATACTGTAATTATTTTCTCGAAATTTCGAGCACTTCAGTTGAAAGAAGTATCTACCGTGACCCAAATCATTACCTGATGTAGAAACCCCGAGTAAAAATATCAACTCTCTATAACCCAGAAAACATCTCTTTCCCCCCAATAAATTCACAAGGCGATTAATTTCGTCATAAAGCTTAAAGTCTCATTTTCTGATTTTGTGGAAACGAAATTCTAGCTATGGAAAACAATTAAGAGTGTCATTCGCTCAAAACCCGTGCTTTTGGACTGAAACCAACGCGCTTAACGTACCCAATGCAACAATTTTTTATGTTTCGCGTTTTATTTAGTTTACCTCCCGGGTTGTGGTCTTCGTATTGGGTTTTGTCTGTAAATAAAGATCTGTATCTGTAGCATTTCCTAAGGAAGTGTTACCCCTTAAATTGCGTATACAATACATCTGTACCTTCCCATTGTTCAACTCCACATATGCCGATTTTTTCCGAAAAAATATTCTAAGGTTGCAGTGTTGACTTCGACTTGGGACCTCGCAGGATTTGGTAAGGTACACTCAATATTACTGAATACTTTGTTCCAACGTTAACTTCTCAATATTTCAGCAAATTCTACACGATTTCGTTGCTGTAGACTATATGCATATAAATACACCAAGGTTCGCATTTAACATATTTGAAATTCTCAGATGTATCTAGTTAATTAGGACAAACCTATTAAAGAATTAATACGTGTTGCTTTCAACGAACTTCATGTTTTCCATCATTTTCGGGTCTGCAAACGCCCATCGCATTTCTTGATATGAACTTTTTGAAATTAGACGTCTTCTATTGATAAACAAGTTTCGCTTCAAGCCGCAAAGCAAGCGAAGCAAGTTTGCTATTATTTCCGTGTGTTTTCGTTCGATTTTCAAGCCAAACTTGGGCTAACACAATATCCATGCGTAAGTGTGACGTTACATCTACACATGACAAACATATGATATAGTGTTTTCTAGATAAACATGTCATGTTGGCTTAAATGTATTAGCAGTTGAAAATAATAATATTCATGTTCGTTCGGGTGACCTTATAACATCAACACGCTATCCGACGTCGACGTTGCCAAAATTCTCTTTCATATCTTTCCGTCCAATAACTCTTTCCAAAAGAAGAGCACATTCAAAATAACTAATAAATAACACTTACTATAATATCCTTGAGCAGGACTTCTTGCGGCAAAAGCAGAGTTTGAGTTTCCGTGAGTTCCCTCAGGCTTAACAAATGAAAATTTCCATATGCAATGCTGTCTCGAGGTAATGGCAGAAAATTTTATTGTGAGGCGAGATATTTAAATTCGCAGCCCTTTGTAATATGGCAACGTAAGAGGTACTATATTTTCCAGTAATGTACGCGGCATTGATTAAAAACCGTCCTTTCTTAATTAATCGTTTCCGACTGGTTATTCGCTACACCGCGCGGAGAAAATTCCAGATGAATTCCCTCATAGGTCGTTAGAAGGTTGTTGATCCATTTTGCCAACCAGCTATCCACAAAAATATTTCACAGACCAGACTAATTCAAACAAGTAATTAAAATGCTAATGAACTTCACTTCTGAATGTTTATTTGAAAGAGCACTTCCATGTTTTGACTATACAGGCAATTAATAACATTTCAAGTTGTTTTTTTCATTTCAAGGAATGACAATCTTCGTTCAGACGCCAACGTGGCATTTTAAGAGAGCTGATAAAGCAGAGCATACCTTCACTAATCAAATTATTTAATAAAAACAATCACTATCTCATTAAGAACAATATTTTTTTCGACACGGAGCGAGTGGGGGAGGACTGCCTAAAATTCTTAACGAGTCCTTTAGGTAGCAGAGCACTATCTCGTAAGTGTATCTCAACAAACTAACGCCCCTTCTTCTTAAATTATTTTCATTTTTTCTCCGCACCTTATAGGCTCCTAGAATGGTCAATTTAGCCTGGGGTGGTTTTAGCCACTCCCTTATTTCAACCCGCAAATCATCTCCTTTTCAATGTGGGACCCTCCTTTCTCTCTCCATGCATAGATGATCATAATGAATGTCCATAACAAAGTAGTATAGTGATCCATACCCAGCATCGATAAAATACCCCAAGAGAATTTGATGCCAATAAAGATATTTTTAACTTACGACTTAAGCAAAAGCATTTCTATATTTGGGATGTACTTAAGAAAAACATGATGCGCTATTAAGTGCACTCTAAATGAACAGGATTCTTTGATTAAGATACCCGTCAACGCATTCGCCCCATTATATCGTGACGACAAGATGGGAGTGGTCTTTGGTAAAAATATCAACATTCAGTGTTATTGTTGCGAACTATAGTTAGGAAATCCGGCCAAACGGAACTGTGGCTCGCCATCGCTCAGGGGAGACCGGACCTGGAACAGGCTTGACACGTATGAAGTAGACAAATTATGTGGTAAATGAATAAATGGAAAATATATATAAAAATTCTTAACAAAGAAATTCATTAATTGCTTTCAGCTAATTATTGACCTTCGGTACCATAGCGCGACCGTCACATTTAATGCATTCTATAGCGTTAGTAAGGTGAAGCGTTCGGTCGTACGGCTGAAATGATCAAGGTGGTTTTTTCCTAGTTATCGCTCAATCCTTGATTGCAATACACCCTTTATAGAACTCACAAACGAAGAGCTCACGTGCACACGTGCACACGTAATAATCAACTGGTCATTTGAGAGTATTAAGACACACCATGAGGTAGTTCCTCGGAGCCTTTGATTTTCTTAGAGAAGGGGGGCACGAGAAAGCATCCATATGTTAATCATTTGAGTTGGCATGCCCATAGACTATCTTACCACAGAAAATAAGCGCTCTTGTTAATTAAGTTATTTGATAAATAACAAGACCTAAATTAGCGCAAATAAAGGTGGAAATTATTGTCCAAAAATTAAAGCAATAAGCTCCTAAATTTCATAATGAAGGAAATTAATGTTCTCCGATTAAAGAAACGGAATTGGTTGAAGCAAAAAAAAAAAAAACAGATCTCTATCAAATATTGAAGTAAAGATCCGCAGAGCATGCAGCACATAATGTTTGTGGAGTTTTCTCTAAAGAGAAGAAATGAGAGGGAGAATCTCTCTACTTAGTGCTTTTTTCACAGTGTTAATGATTCTGGCGAATCTCCTCCCTACTAAAATAACACTTTTTGGTTATTTTTTCTTAGTTGTCAAAAAAATAATTGGAATAGGATATTTGAGGCAAAAATAATGAAAATTTGGGTCGTGGAAATTAAAAATCCCCTCTGTTAATTACGTGGAAATTAAGGCTATCAAAATCAATTGCGACTTAAATTCAATTCATGAACAATTTATATCCTAAAATTTAGTAAACTGTGTGCACCATGCCAAAGAAGAGATTTATAGTTGTTAGTATCACGATTTAAGATCACTGAAATGAACAAACTAAATTTTCCTTTAAAAACCATTGTAACAGTTGTTTTCTAAGTGTGGCTCGTTTCAAGTGAGTAGAGAAGTGACCAAAACTAACGTACTAAATGCCATTAATCGTAACAAAGGATAGCGTCATTATTAGCCACTGAGAACTCATAGAAAATACAGGCAAACTACCACAAGCGCGGGAAAACGCGGCTGACGAAGCCACGATTGGTAGTAATTTTGCATCTCATTGGTTGAGAAAATGGCGCTAGTTTTCTGGCTCAATCACAGAGCGAGGTGAAGCAGAAGCTTATGTAGTCCTGGATTTCTTTCGACCCCCGGTTGAAAATTATTCTTTGCAGTGTCGAAAGTGAAAACTATGGTTTTGCTTCACTTTCCACTGTGATTAGTCGGCGAAACGCAAGCCACTTTTTGAACCACACAGATACAAACCACCGCCAATCTCTATCTGGTCTCCTGCGTTTTCCCGCGCTTCCAGCAGTGTGCTTGTTTTCACATTGAGTTCGTACTGACTCGTTGTGATTTTTTTTTTGCTCTGATCGGCCGTTGTGATTCCTTTGGTTTTAGTTTAACGACTGACTCGATCAAAGTCCGCTGCGACCTAAGCGCTGCATTCTCCAATTACATAAAGGGCAGTTTTCAAAGAAATATTTGATTTGAGAGCGCTATCGTGAAAGTAGTTTGTGGTTTGAGTTGCATAATCAGTTGAGCCACTTTTAACAAATAGAAGACTGATTTTAACTCGATAATTCAATAATTCACAGTTTTAATAAAGTTTTCAAAGACGTTCATGAAGGTCTCTCGAGAATCACATGATCGGTGATCTGAGAACGGACTGCTCAAGTAAATTAGGCCAACACGCGGGAGTGCAAAAGCCAGGCGCGCGCGAAAAAAGCTGCTTTTTTTCGATGCGTACCCGCTTTCTCTCACTCACGCTCTAACAATCTGCAAGCAGCTGACCCAGAATTAGTGATATACAGGTTTCAGTCATTCCAGCCTTGAGGATGTGAAGATGTGTCATTTCCCAATAAAAAAAATACAACGAAGAACTACGACGCACAGCTGAAGTCATTCAATGGTATTCATTTCGGTTTACAGTCAGACTGTAAATAGACAATAACGTTGAGAAATTTTTATCACTAAAGCGGTCTTTGTTCCCAACAACACCATGAAGATTCTTAAAGCGTTGTTCGTTCCTAACAACAAAAGGAAACGTTGTTCGTTTCCAACAACAAAATGAAGCGTTGGTCGTTTCGTAAGCTTGAGAAACTTTTTCTTGGTTTTTAATAAAACCATGAAGACTTTGACTACACAGAAATCGATCGTATGCTCGGAATTGAAATATGTTTCAGTAACGATTCTAAAAGCGTTGTTCGTCTCTAGCAACAAAGGGAAGCGTTTTCCGTTTCAAACAAAAATATGAAGCGTTGTTTGTTTGGTACGTACTCGTTTCTTACTCACAGACATTTCGTAAGCTTGAGAAATTTTTTCTTGGTTTCTAACATAGCCATGAAGACTCTGACTACACAGAAATCGATCATATGGTCAGAAAGGCCATATGACCGACCGTAATCGTCGCACTGTAGGGCTTGTTGACGTGGTCTAACTTCATCATCACACTCAATGCAAGGATGAATGCTCATTTTGATCAGTTCGTATTCGTATTGTAGCTAGCGTTACCCTCTTCATATATACTTTGATCGCATCAAAATATACATGCGACCGCCAGAGGAAACAGAGCACAACTACATAATTTTTGCCTATTCTGATCCTAAGGGAAATGATGCTATCAGACTACTACTGTGAAAAAAGTCACAAGCATAAACAATAGACTGTTATCTTAAAAAAAGCACACTTACCTTACGCAAGGCAACAAGTTAGTTTTGTTTGTATGTTATTCGCTTTACCTTTTACCTACTTGTCAAACGCGACAATCGACATTCGTTTATCAGGTGTTTACATCTGTTATTGTTAAGAACTCTACTTGTATGTTACGCTGCATCCGTACATTTGTTGTTATAGAAACGAACAACGCTTCCCTCTGTTGTTAGAAATGAACAACGCTTTTAGAGTCGTTACTCAAACATATTTCAATTCTGACCATACAATCGATTTCGGTGTAGTCAAAGTCTTCATGGCATTTTAAGAAACAAGAAAGAGTTTCTCAAGCTTACGAAATGTCCGTGAGTAAGAAACGAGTACATACCAAACGAACAACACTTCATTTTTTGTTAGAAACGGAAAACGCTTCCCTTTGTTGTTAGAAACGAACAACGCTTTTAGAATCGTTACTCAAACATATTTCAATTCCGACCATACGATCGATTTCTGTGTAGTCAAAGTCTTCATGGTATTGTTAAAAATCAAGAAAAAGTTTTCAAGCTTACGAAACGTCCGTGAGTAAGAAACGATTACATACCAAACGGACAACGCTTCATTTTGTTGTTGGAAACGAACGTTTCCCTTTGTTGTTAGGAACGAACAACGCTCTAAGGGCCTATTTACACGGTACGACTTTGTCGCATGCGACAAGCTTACGACAAGCTTACGACACTAACGAACAACGCTCTAAGAATCTTCATGGTGTTGTCGGAAACAAAGAGCGCTTTAGTGATAAAAATTTCACAACGTTATTGCCTATTAACAGTCTGAAATTCTGATCTTTTCAGTATTTGTTTCTTCGGGCGACTTGACTTTTTTTTCCGGGCGACATAACTAAAATTTCGGGCAACATGACTCAGGTTTCGGGCGACATGACTTCGGGCGAGATGACTCTCGGGCGACTTGACCGGTTACCTTCATTTCTTGCATTGCAAAAAAGCAGACGATAAGTCAGAATAATGTGTTTAAAAACTTTTATTGTAAACGATTGCAGTCTACACAACATTAAAAAAAAATATTGAACACCAGCACAACCTGTAGTGTTCCCTCAAGGTATTAAAAGGGTGTTTGTTGGAATTAAAAATCAATTACAAAAAAAACACACACGCACGAACGCACGCACGCATATACCCCCACGCACACACGCACGCACACAAACTCACACACTACATGAACAACCGAACGCAGGCTATATATATGTAAGATAGATTTCATACTTTCAAAAAGTGAAAATAGAAAGGTTGAAAAAAAAAAAAAAAGAAGCCATCTGGTCTGCATCTTGTGGCGATATTTCACAATCTGGATATTGCTACATCACATTACTTTCTCAAACTTGTTTAGAGAAAAACAAGATTTGTTGACATATATTTTCATCTTAATGTACACATTATTTCACAACTTGTATAACAAATTTCCTATTCAGTGCTAAGATTTAGGCAATGATTTTAAATATATATTCACACATGTTGAGTACTACAGTCATAGTTTTCCAGTACTCATCAAACTATGAAACACTCAGAGCTATTGTCTACTTTGTACAGGAAACAATTAGTTCTTCAACCCAACACACATCTTACAACACAAGTTTTCTTAAAAATAAATTAAGCACTAAAGTTATGTAAATACATCAATTTTTAACAACACTACAGCATGCCAAAGTGTAAGTACTGGAAATAAGGTTCCTCTACATATTTGTAGTTAATGTAAAATGAAATGTAAACTTTGTTTACAACATAAAGTTGGAGCAATTTTGACTCAGAGAGGATGTGAAGGAAAATGATGCACTGCCTTAAGTACTGCCTTGATTTTACATTGAAAATCTTTAAACAACCATTCAGGTTCTTTCTTTCTCTCCATCTTCATATCCTGAAAGAATCTGAGTTTAAAAATCCACTCTATGAAACAATATATCTGGCATACATATCTTCACTTAACCTTTCTTGAGGCAGATAACAGTATGGAGAGAATCCAACCATAAAAAAACTCTTGGAGTAAATTGCAAAAATTGGGTTGAACTCAGGTTATTTTGTGCTGATCAATAATCTATTAAGTTTTTCTCCTTGAAAACGTTATTCTAACAATTTCACCTAAAAGAGTACAAACACTTGATTTAAATAAATTGTTTCTTACTAATTAAATTACTACATATGTAAAAATATCTTCCCATAAGGCCTCTCAAAAGGAAAGGTCGTTTTCTGCACACACTTCTTGGCCTTCAAAGCAATGTGTCCCTCTAAATACACATTATCATAGAGATCACCAAGAAACTCAGTACCAGGCCCTTGAATGAGACCACGCAAGTTTTTGACAAACTCTCTCTTTGTCATTTTGTTCTTCACATGGGGACTGCTCAGATCCACACTGAGAAGAATCAGTGAGTGGCATAGAATAAATACACTCTCTGGAAAAGAGGAACACAAACTATCAGACAATGAGTATGTTGAAGGCAGATACCTAATGATATGGCAGTGACAACAGAGCAAGCTACAGGAGGGGGACACAAACAGCGGAGAAGACAACTTGCAAAGGAGGTAGACAAACAGTTACACTGAAAGTGACTGGCAACATTCAAAAGGGGTGGGGAGGGGACAGGGAGATGAGGAAGGCTGCTTCCCGCTCTTGCCTCTCCTACCTCTCTTGCCTTTTGGCCTTAACCTACCTTAAGTTCTGCTGACCTCCAGTTCCTCTTTCATCTCATGTAACCCCTGCTACCTATCCTCCCTCCCCCTCTTGCTACCCCTCTTGCTACTCCTCCCCCATGTCCCTCCATAGACAAGTGAGGTCTGACAGTAGGCTTAGAGCCATTAGCACAGTGAATCAGAAGAAGCATGAGTAAGGAGGAGAAATTTAATTATGAAAATAGGACAAATGAAAAGGAGCTACAAACTTATTGAGGACGAGCAAGAAAGGAGGGAAAGAAGAGACGATGAAGGGTTGCAAGTGGTAAGGAAAGTCAAGAGAAAAAGAAAAGCTTTAGAATAAAGACAGCAGGAACAACCCAGAGAAAGTGCAAAGGGAAAGAGAGAGGGAGATACAGAGAGACAGGTGACTGTAAGTTGATGTAAGTAGAAAGAGGCAAACCACAGCTGAATGATTACTAACCTGGTGTTAGGGGTGTGCTAGGATTTGTAGCACAGAACCGAATGGAGAACTTGTTCAAAAGGGTGTCTAAGAATTCTCCTCTCTGTTCTGGGGGATAAACTCTTTCAAAAAACTGCCTGAAATTAGAAAAAGAGGTTCATATCTACTGGCGCACAGCCTTAAGCTTTCCAGTAATTTCAAGTGTGACTGTGTGACCTATTTTGATCAGGCAAGAGTTGTCCAGATAAAAATCATTGTTGGCATTAGCGATTGATGTTTTGACATCAATCCGAAGGGAAATCATAATCAGAGTTAAGTAATGAATTGATTGTCTGTCAAGTAAGTCTAGTTTAAAATCAGTTTGAACTGTAGTGCTTGTGAATCATCATTACCATTTACCTTAGTGCCACAGGTAAAAATACCCCTTCATAATGCTGCATGTTAACAATTTCTTGCAAGACATCTCTTCTACAAAAAGGTAATGAAAATTGAAATTTTTAATGGTAGAAATAAATAGAGACTTGTAAAAACAGTTGGAAATGGCACAAACCATTTATCTTCTATGAGTGTTTAGTGATCCTTTTCACTCTTACCTTGTATCAAGAAACTCGCTGACAGACTTTCCATAAAGAGTACTAGTGCAGTTAATAAACTTTCCTATCTCAGTACATGAATCATCCAACACATTATGTCTCACTAGATAACTTATTCCCTGAAATAGAAAAGATAAACAGTAAGTTTCAACACTTTTTTGGTACTATTCATAACATCATAACCACATTTTAGTCTTAGGTAAGCTAAGTGCTTAACTATCACACAAATGATTTGGGTGTCCTCTACTAGTACTTGGACAATTCTTTTAACCCTTTAAAAACTAACATCAGTATGTATGTTCTCCATATTGCTCTCTAAACATTTCCTAAGTTGTTGACAAGGAGAACTTGTTTAATATTCAAGAGCTTCTTCTGTTGGTGATCATTCAGGGCGTGAAATTAACTTTTTTTCCTGATAGCCACTTGGCTCCTAAATTCTTCAACGTGGTAGCCAATTCAAAAAAAGTTGGTTGCCATTTTCAAAGACAAACAAAATCTTTCTTTATGCTGTCAGCATTCTAGATAGGCCCTCCAAAATTAAGTTAGGGGAAAAGATCTTTAACGTGCTACAAAGTGGACACTAGGATGGATGATTTACAACATTCAGGCTTATCTAAATCCAAGATGGCGTCTAGTTATCGATCGAGATGCATGTGCTACGTTTTGGAAACAAACTTAACGAGGAAGTTTGCCACTGATTTATCTTTGCAAATTTTTTAAATTCTCTATATCTCTTGGTAAGGTTATAATGAAACGTTCTAGTCGCCAATTTGGCGACTAACTTTCAGGATTTGGTCGCCAAAGTGAAAAATTTAGTCGCATTGGCACCTGTATTAGGCGCAATTTCACATCCTGTCATTTCCTTAATTCTCATGACCTTAATGTGTGACTTAGGAGTGATATTGTAGGGAGAAATTAGATGCAAGTCACTCTTAAGGGTTACAGAGTTATAGGATGCCAGTAACTCACTTCTGATTCATGCAAACTGTAAATTTTTGCCACCCAAAAATAGCTCTGAGGGAAGACAAGTACTAACAGAAAACAGTGCCTTGCTGTTTGATACTGGTATGAGAAAAAACTATTTTAAAATATTGATTCATGAGTCTCTCAGTGAAAAACAAATACAATATACCTTCACATATTGATTCAATTTACAGAACTGAACTTGAATTAAAAGAATTGTGTCACTAATTAATCATGATCAGACAATTCCCTTTCCAAAAGGTTTACAAGTAGTCAAACTAAGAGTCTGAACAATAATTTATAAGCCAAAAATGTGAGGGAAAATGATATTTTGAAAAAAAAAATAGTTAGTCAAATACAACAACTACAAAAAACCCACACAAATATGGACTGTTGATATTAAGATCAAGCTTAAAATAATGGACAAACAAAAATTTTACATAATCACATGAAATAGGTGCACCAACCTGATGTGGATCAAAATTAAAGAGGCAAGTTCCCTCATCTAGCAACATGTACAGTTCCTTGAAGGAAATCTTTCCCTGGTGGTAGAAAACAATTTCAACTTCATTCTTTAACTATTGAGTTCCAAATTCCAAGTACATTTAAGTACAAATGAGATATTTGCTTGTGCCTGTTTAGTCTTATGCTGCAATCAACAGTTTACACCAGCATTCAGTCTTGTCAAGCGAGTTCAACAGAGTCAAAGCTATCAGCTTAGGATCAAATTCAAACTCAAAGGTTCTTTTCCTAATCAGGACAGCTGGACCAGGCACAATTTTATTCAGCTACTAGGTACATTTGTTCAAGGGGCTAAGTTGCACTGTAAGTATGCACACTAAGTTCTTCCAATTACAAACTTAACATGTCAAATTTCCATTGATCCCTACTGTTTTCAACAAGAAGCCAAGGGTATTGCTTGTGGGGGTCCTTCCCATGAACCCCCCTTTGTGGGCCTTTTTTTAAGCAAACAACCCACAATATCTAAGTGGCAAAAACTGGTGAGTACCCTCTCTTTAACACTGAGTGTGACCCCCTTTGCAAATCCTGGCTTCACCCCTGGAGGCACAATACAGGGCTGTAAATGTCAACAATCACAAGTTGCCGTGGTCAACTACTATGATGTGTGGTACTAGATAAAAGCAATTAAATATTTGGACATTCACTTCGTTCTCGATAATAAGATGGCAATCACACAGCTTACCTGATGCTTCCTGTTATATGCTGAAGCATATCCCCATGTAACTTTTGACAGGCTGAATTGAAAGCAAAAATAACAACAAAGTTGCTAAATTCTTCCTAATAGGTACCTAAAATGATCAATTATTCATACACACCTAAGGGTGGCTCAAAAAGATAACTAGCTTATTTATCAATTTGCTGTGCCGCATTATATTGTTCGTAGGACACGAAATACATATTTCGTGAGAAATGATAAATCTGTCAACAAACAGCAATTTCGGCAAAGGAATGAACACTTTGTGGAGATGCTAGAGAGCCCTCTGAGTTTTTGTTACATTTTTTGATTGGATAAAAAACATCTCATCACTGATGAGTTTGTGCTCTGAGGATATTAAGACTGGTTGAATTTCTAATTTGATTTTCGATTTCAAATAATATTGGTACATGTACTTCCAAAGTTTATCTCGAAGGAGGCATGCACCAAACAAAACGTTGGTTCTTGAAAACGCTATTAATGCGATTAGGACCACAGAAAAGTATTAACTAAAAGTATAAAATCCATATTACAAAAAGGATAAAAACTAAAAACGGGCTTAATTAAAATAAATTACAACAGCGTTTAAAATAGTGTTTCCAGTTAAACTTATATAATCACAAAGTACAATGTCTGATCGAAAAGAAAACGCGCCTTCCAACGTAAATTTGCAAGCAGAACACAAACTACAGTTTTGGAAATCACAAACCTTTGCCAGAGAAGTTCATTGTCAGCTAAATGCTTCCAAACACAAGCAGCAAGACATAGATCCGTTGCGTTCAAGTGCGACAAAACAGACACAGCAACTTCGGGGGGAAAATTACTCAGATCAGGGAAAGATTTCAGCTGATGCGGAGAATTTCTGCTTCTACGATGGACTATGGACTGGAATTGACCCATGCGTTCAAAAATGCATAATAGAACGTCGAAAGCTAAAAGATGGCCGGGGATTCCGCAGAACCCACTGCCGTTTCGGTGAAAATAACACTTTAAATTTTAAAAGCACATATTAACCTATTCAGCTTAATGCAGAGTTTTGTTGTGATCATAACAAATGACATCTCACGTTCTGACGTGGCTACGGAAGTGCGCGTGCTCCATGGTTGAAACTGCTGTTCGATATGAGCGGTGAGGGTCGAAAATTAACGAAAAAAAATTTTTTTTATTATCTTCGAATTGATCTAAGTTTGAGATTCTCCATTTTATCACGCACAAATCTATTTCATATGTTAAAGATAAAACGACATAAAAAATATTCACTGGAATTTTATTTGGGACTCTTTTTAAGCTTAGAATAAGATACACATATTTTTCGTCGATTTTGAGGTTGATATGGAAGTGCTTCAAAATTTTACTCCTTCAACACGACGAACAACTTTTGTGAATTTAAATAAGTTTGTTCAGAATTTACTTAGCACATTTTGTGCTAATTATCTTAATCCTAAACCACAATGCATGAACCGCAATATTTTGAAATATATGTTGTGGTTCCTTTTTCACATGTTTTAAAACGTACATATGTTCGAATAACTGTTAATCTTTTTTTTTTCTTTTTTTTCAATTTGCCTTCATTTTCTACTCGTTTCATTCATACATGTCCGCGAACGAAGATCTTTATATATACAATTTTGATGATGGAATGAATTCTCCCTAGGCCTGCTACAAACAGAGGCAAATTTGAATGTCACGCATGCTCTCTCGTGCGGTTGTTAGGACGCTGTCTTTGAACCCGCGAGATAACTATCACTAACGGTTTTCCTCTGAACATGACATTTTACGGAAATTTCCTTGACTTCGGTCGAAGGATGTAAAGAGCTGAGTAGGGAAGTCATTATAGTCTTCAGAAATGACGGAAAGAAAGTTTACCACGCTCAGAAAGCGTTTAGATCAGCTTGGCTACAGGCAAGCTTTGGGGATTGAATCTGTTCCTTTGGTGGAGAAGTTGTTTAGCGATCTTGTTCATACGACAGAGAGCCTAAAAAATGTTAAACTTCAACTGGGAAAGCAAGAGAAGGAAAGGACAGTTTACGAAGATAATGTGGAGCCATATAGAAGTGATAATGCAAAACTGGTCAAAGAAAACAATGAGCTTCACCTGCAGCTCATAAAATTACGAGAAGAAACTGATCAGGTTATCAGAGATCTGAAAACCAGCGTCCGAAAGTTAGAACATGAAAATGCGGACCTGAAATTTTTAAATACACAATATGTGCATAAAGTTAAGGCTTTGGAAAAGGAAAACAAGTCGAAAACTGAAAGGATACAGGACTTACAGGAGAAAAATTTGCATGCAGTTGTCGAAACTCCAGGTGGACGAAGGAAACAAATACCACTCCGTCGACAACGTATGGATATTGAAAGCATGGTTTCTCCTGCTCGTGATCTGAACGACAAGGCAGATGATGTACACGATCCCTATGTAGCAGACTTGTTAAACGTGGCTGACACAAGAATAGAGGATCTGCAAGTTCAAGTGTCGCAACTTCAGGACGAGAAATCGAGCACTGAGAGACGGAACAAGAGTCTTCGGAAACAGGTACAACTTTCAAGTACAGTGACTTCCGGAAGCAATCGGCAGAATATCGATTTAAAAATTTAGCATGTAGAAGCGAAATAACCGGAGATTTTTTCTGCATTGCAGACATTCATTTTGTCTTTATCTATTTTCCTTTCGTTTTATTTTCTGCGATCTGAGATTTACAGGTTTAATTTTAGCTAACCTTTCAAGTTGTTGTAGATGCTGGTAATTAACACTTCTAGCTTGTGTTGAATTAGTGGCGATTTATAATTGATTTAGAAACTCTCGTATGATTTACACTTTGCAATATATGGCTTATGTCATTATGGATTATTTCAATGACTGGATTTGTTTTAATTTGCACACCTCTGACATAACTCTCAATCATTCAAAACATCAGGCTATTAAATTGTTCTTTGAATTTTCACCTTTCATATAAGTCACTCAAAAATAGAACCATCTCATATCTCAGAATTATCATAATTGAAAGCTTGCTCAATGTCACCTGCTTTTTTTTCTCTTAAATTTTCAAGGTGAATTGAAAATTAACAATGAAATTGAAATATTGTTTAACTTTACATAGATAATAGCTTGGATGTTTGAATGAAATATTTACTCTGCCTTCTGCATATTATTTTGAGTGGCTATGTAAATGCTAGGTGCCAAAATTATATTTCACACAATTGAGAATTGTTATAGCACAGATATACTGTCATTTTATAAAAGATGTCAGTCAAAACTTGATGAGAGAAATTTGACGATGTCGCATGGAAAAAAACAAGTGTTTTTATAGTTGTAAAGATGAATATTTGTAAGTTATTGACAAGGTGCCTTGAGAGCCTTAAAAAGGTTTTGGATCATATCTCAATTGTGTCCTTTTTCATTTAAGGGATGATCTTGCCTTTGTATTTATCATAATAACCAATTTTTAACACACAAAAAAAATTTTTTTAGGTGGAGTCTCGTGATAAAGAAATTGAGAGGTTGAACCAGCTGCTGGATGGTGGGCGTCCTGTGGATGCAGTCCTTAGAGAGAGTAAAAAAGACAGCAGTGAAAGAGTTGTGGCTCATCTTAATGTTCAGGTATTTATGTACAATCTCTGCTTTGGGGTGTTTGACAGATGTGTTGTCCTGGTAGCTGACAAGTTCAACTAAAGATTACAGGGTTTGAGTTTGAGCCCAATCCTGGCCAATTTGTTGTGCTCTCTGAGTAAGACACCACTGCTTGGTTAGCTCAGGTTGGGACCAACAGTTAAGGCTTTTAAAGAACCGATGCCATAGCAAAGGCAGGAGAGACTCTGCTGCCTTTGCTATGACATCTGCAAATGGTTGGCCATTTTTGTCTTCTTGGATAAGGACAATAAAATGTAACCCCCGTCTTCTGCAGGGGATGTTAAAGAACCCAGGCACCTCTCATGAAGAGTAGTGCATGTAGTTCCCTATGTTGATATAATATATCAGTGTTAATTCTACTCTCTCGCTATACACATTTCCTTGTTGATCTAACACCAAATTCTCATAACCAACTTGCAAGGAAATGTGTAGCAGCTAGAGAGGAGAATGAACAGTCAGATCTTGGGAATTTAAGACTTAATTCAGCCTGCCATTTCTTATGTTTCTATCAGGTGGATTATCTGCAGCAGGCCAATCATGACTTAGAAAAGCAATTAAAAGATACAGTCGACCAGAAAGTTGAGGCAACCAGGCGAGCCAATGAGCTTGAAGCAACAAATGCTGATCTTCTTCTGGAGCTTAAAGATCTCAACAGACTTTCCAGACAAGTTGAGCACGATAAAGAGAGAGATGTCATTGCCATACAATCAGAGTTGTCAGATACAAAGGTTTCATTGGCGATTTTTAAATTTTTAAATCTCCCTCAGTTGATACTCTTTTACTGGTAAATTGAATTTCATCTAATAATGTCTTTGGATCTTTTCAGGCTGTTCTTAACAATCTTCAACATCAAGAAGGGACCCATAGAACAGAGATGCAGGAGCTCAGAAAGGTGGGTTGGATCCCAAATGCTCAGGTGTCAGTATGCTTCAGAAGCATCAGTGCCGGCATTCTCACCAGCTGTTTGTTCCTGAAGTACCCCCTGCTTTACCCTTTAACTCCCAAGATCTGATTGTTAATTCTCCCCTCTAGCTGCTGCACATTTCCTTGTAAATTAGTTACGAGAATTTGGTGGTAAATCAAGATAACAAATATTAAGTATTCTCATTATTTGCTTGCTGGAGAATATGCATACTGACATTAGAGTGCAAAGGGTTCAAGGTTTTGACCTAGGTCTCTTTTTAGGATTGTATTTTAGAATAATTATTACTTTGCTCATTTCTTTCTTTGCTTTTAGGAACGTCAACGCCTGATGGAAGAAAACGAGCGCCTGGCTGTGCTTATGGAAAATGCTGAACAAGATGTGCATCATGTCACAGACTTACTGGATAAATCTGACAAGGAGAGGAAACGTCTGTCAGAGAGAAATGCCCAGCTCACCATTAATGGTATAGGATATATTTATAACTTATTTTCTTGATACTGAAATTCTCTTCAGTCTGGGCTGTGAAGACTGGGGATATTTTTATTTTGTCTGTAAGAGATGCTAGCACACAGCAAGTGTAAAATTTAATTGCTGAAGTTATTGCAACATTTGGCTCCTGTACTGACAGTCTGATGTCCCATTATACTCCTGTGTGAGGAGAGATACTGTGAGGGTAAAGTGTCTTACCTGAGAGAAAAACACCAATACCTTGATTACGTGTTGTTGTTGGAGTAATCTTGAATTGAGGGTCGCAAGTAATCCCATCATCTGGGATTACTTTGTTTTTGTTTTATTTCACTCTGTGAGTTATCGAGAAAACTTGCCCCACACTCTCAACCAATCAGATGCAAAACTAAAACCATGGCTTGCATTCTCATGTTTTCCTCAGGGCTTTAAGCATTGTTACTTTGAGTTCTCATTGGCTCTTAAAGGTGTTTTCCTTTCCTCTAATTGGCTTTTGTCAGTGATTACTTTGGTTTTGGTATTATGATATTCAATCGAAGAGAGCTGTTCATGAACAGTGTAAGGCATTGTTGACGATAATTGTCACAAATACCTCTCGAGCCTGAAATTGAACAATAACTTTGCAAGACTGATGGCCAGTTGGTGTGTTTTATCACATACTAATGTTGTACCGTGTTTTTAAGATACTGCCATGAATGATGATGTTTTTTTGTTGTTGTTTATTCAGAGAGGGAGCTTGTCATGGATCTAGAGAGACTTAAGTTAACCAAGTCTGTGAAGCCTAAGAAAAGTCGAGACAAGGTACAATTAATTGCTAACTTCTTTCTTCCAAGATTTGTCTTATTGGCTGTAAGTTAAGAAGGGTTACTAGGCAACTCATTGATAAACATACACGGGTTTCAGCCTTGTTTGTGCGATCAGCGTAGGAGTTGTTTCCAGATCTAAAAGCCAAATAAAACTGCTGAATGATCCAGCTATAGTAACTGACTGAGTGATTTTTCTCGACGAAGGCTAGAGACACAAGTGCGAGCAAAGTGATGGAACTTGTCTGTGTTTTCTTTTCCATTTTTTTGACTTTTTATCTTACTTTCAATCTTGCTGTTGTTTCTTTTTTATATTACTTTAAATTTTGTTAAATCTCTCTTACGCTTGTCACTTGCGTCTGTTTCGAGCGCTTGTGGAATTATCTTCAAGTGAATTAAACCAAGCCTTTCGTTCCGTCAGTCTCCCTCCAAGATAGAATCGCTAGTGAAAACGTTAGAGAAGGAGAGAGATTACTACAAAGGAGAATGTGAAACACTTCAAGGAATGATGAGGAAACGACTCTCTGCTTCGCCTCCTTCAAACCGCAAAGGAAGCAAGAGTAAAGGAAAGGTGAGATCTTGTGAGCCAGGTCACTCCCTTGAGTTGTAATCAAAACCAATTCCAAAGTGACCACCACAGCTAATCAGAACAAAGGTCAAAATCCGGGAAATCAATCCCAAAGTGTTCTCAATAGCCAATCAAAACACTAGAAAATGTCATTAGTAGCCAATGAGAATTCAAGGATACAACGCGCAAACTACTAGAAGCGCGGGAAAACACAGGTGGCCAAGACGCGATTAGTTTGTGTTATATTTGTTGTGGACCAGTTACGAAGCAAAGTGGAGCAAAAAAAACGTGATCTTGAATTACTTCCCGCATTTGTTTGAAAATTATCCCTAGAAAACGCCGTTTCGTTAAAGGCTCTTTTGAAATATTGTCTTGTATTTGCAGACGATTGGACATCTAGAGAGCATGACACAACTTTTGCAGGAGGAGAGAGACTTTTACAAACGAGAATGTGAACTTCTTAGAAATATGAAGGAGAAGAGCGTATTAATGTCACCTCCGACAAGAGAAAGGGTATTGTGTTCAACTACTTTATTTAGTCCGCTTTTCGATTGGGTCGCCAAACCAGAACCAAAGAAATCACATCAGCCAAATACAAGGAAAACACGACAAGCTTAAGAGAATTATACTGTTAAGTAAGAAGCGTAATTAACGCCTGCATTGTCCTGTAAGTGCCTTAATCGGGCTGCTTTTAACCAACCACGTTTGTCATGTCATGTCATGTTATGTCATGGATTTTGTCATGATTTTATTGATCGAGAAAGTAGATCGTCGATGTGGTCTTCACCCAGATATTCACCAATTCTTTTCTATTGTGGTTCCAGGTATCACGAGACAGCCCCAGTGAAGTGAACCGTTTGAGGAGAGAGAGAGATGAACTCCAGTCATTAGTAGAAAAATTTGAGAAACATCTTACAGAGGTGTGGAATTATGAGATATTGTTATACTGTTGCTTAAAAATAGTGGTAGACTTAGTGATAGAATGGTATGTGCTCTTGAATCCGATTAATACACTGTAGGTCTTTGTTCAACCCTCTGACACCTAAGAGTGACTAGCATCTAATTTCTCATTTCGAAATCACCCCTGAATCGCGCTTAAGGTCATGAGAATAAAGGAAATGATCACCTACTGAAAAAGCTCGTTATTGAAACATTCTCCTTGTCAGCACTCAAGGAAATGTATAGAGATCAGTGTGGATGTTTGGGTAAAAAAAAAAAGGGGTTACACCCTGTCTAGGTCAATACACAAGACGCGGTTCTCGATTCTTCTCGTCACCAAGGGTATGCTGGTTGACGGCTTTGGCAGACTCGTATCCATTCGTCACTTTTTTTCTGTCTGCAAAGAAATCTAGGAAGGGGATGGAGTGCGCAAAAGCATTTGGGAAGGAGGGGTAAAAGTGGATTCCCTTGATGAAACGCGAGTTTGCTGAATCCTTCCCGTCCTGATCAATCACTCGTCGAATAAAAAGAAGCAACAGAGTACGAGTATGGGCTCTGGGTTACTCTGTAATGGACTAGTATCTCACCCAGGGGGAGTACCAATACTGCTTCTGCAACAGAAATCACAATGAGTTACGCGTGTCATTTTTGCATTCAGACTTTGCCAGTCTAAATGTTGCCTTTTGAGAGATATGATATAGGTTATACAGTTGTTGTATAGTTGTACGGTTGTACAATATCGACTTTGTCAATTTTAGATTCAAGAGAATGTGAAGACACTGACGCAAGACAGGGATAATATTCAACTACTTTACGAGCAGGTTAGCGATGCCTTTTTCGATTATGAGGGCTCAAAGTGAGAACGTGTAAGTGGTCTCGCATGCGGGGGCACGATCCTACTAGTGCTCAAGTCGCAATTGGTTTGAATTGTTTTTACTTAATTTATCGAGAAGGTGACGCGAGTTGTAAGCTCATTGGGGCAAAAAATGCAATGCCAAAGATGACTTTGGATATGTAATAGAAATTCCCTCCAAAGAGAGCACAAAAAAAATGTGTATTTACTCTTTCCAGGCCACGGACGAAATCCAAAGACTGCGCCGTCAGGTGTCTCAAGCCCGGTCTCCTTCACCCTCTCGTGCAGCCTCGGCTGTTTTGTTACGAGTGGAGTCTGAGAGAGACGCGGCACTAGCTGATCTTCGACGCACCAATACTCAACTTGACAATCTAGAGGACAAGCTTAAGGTTTGTAGCTATGTCGGAAATGAAGAAAGCCTAAAATTTACCCAGGAATTAAGATGCAATAAGTTTCATATCGTTTTTTCAGGCCTCTCAGGAAAGCAGTCTACAAGAAAGACGACGATATGAAGATAAAATAGAGCGACTGGAATCCATGTTAGAAAAGGCAAGTTTTTGTGGGGAAGCCGATTTTTGTCTTATCCGATAATGTTACTAATTTGTTACATTATAAATCAATTATCCTCGACATCAGGTGGAGGCAGATAGGAACGAGATGCACGCTCGAGTGACGTCACTAAGAAACATGGTGGCCAACCTCGAGGACCAATTGAAACAGACCTCGGCCCAGCTCTCCATGGCAAAGGACTCGGCCCTAGAACTTGAATCCGAGGTCAACAAGGTACAGCTAACCGCTGATCAAGCTAATCGCACAGCGGAAGACAGGGAAAGGAGATTGAACAGGAAGGCAGGGGAGCTACAAGCATCTGAAGAGAAATGTGCTCAGTTGGAGCGTAGATTAGGTCGGTATGCTACAACATTTTGAGAGATCACAAACAAGTTTGTCACAAGGGTTTAGCAAAAAGAAAACCTCAGTTCGCTACGAGGATAATAACCTCAGATCTTCCGGTTTTGCCTTCTGATGTTCTCTCACAGAGAAAAATCTTTACTAAACTCGTACATACCAAGCGAATATGTGGAATGAAAAATGTTTTCCTCTTTCTTTTTATTTGCGCGATGTTGTGCTGATCCTAGCAACATGCAAAACTCCTTTCGTCTAGAAACTTAAAAAGACCTGCTTTAGCGTTGATAGTTATCTGTGGCTCAGTGGTGGGGCAGAGCGCGGTATCCGAAAATTTGGGGCTAATTTCTTGTGGGAAACTCCGATTTTCCCTCTTTCTATTTAGTTGACAAGAGAGTTAAAAAATTACCATTTTTCTTATTAGACGCTAATTTTTTTCGTCTCTCTAGAGGAAATTGAGAAGAGAAATGAAGAGCAGAGTTTTGAAACTGCCGAGATAAAAGCCAGTCTGAAATCATTGGATCGTGAGAGAGATGACCTACAACAGCAAGTGGACGAGAAAACGGAAGAGATCATTCAAATGGAGGCCAAGAAAATACAGCTGGTTAGTTTGACAACAAATTCTCCTTGTCAGCAACTTACGAATTGTATACAGAACAGTATGGAGAATATGCATACTGATACTAGGGTGTACATAATGGTTTTTTTTTTCCGGTTCCAATAAAGACAAACTAATTGTTTGCCTAAGACAATCCACAAAAGAATTTCTGGCATGAGGCGTTCTTTTTGTTGACTTTCTTATCAAACAACGCCGGGTTGTTAATTGCACAATTTTCCTAGGTGCTTCTGTCGTTACAACAATTTTCGATGTCCTTTTTGTTCGCGAAATTACTACGTCGTAGCAATTGGTGACACTATCGAACGAAAGTTGTACTTGCTGAGTTACTTTTTAACTGTTATAGAAGAAGTGTATGAACGGTACTAGAGAATTATTATTCAAAGAAAGCGTTGTTTTGAAAAGCGATATCAACAGAGTTCCAGAAACCACAGAGGACAAAGGAATAGTTTAGATCTTTCGATTTCACTTGTTTCTTGAACATTTGTGTCTTCAATGGCGTGGTTAGCAGCGTTGCACTCGCTAAATTATCTTAAAACATACATTGATGGGGATGAGGTAAGATTTATTTATATTGACAGCTTCAACCAATCGTTCTGCAATCTTCCTGAATCTTATTACAATGTAATCTCAGTAAATATTCCAGTACTTCGCGTGTCGCGGCAAGAGAAGCCAACACTCTATTCCCGTGCCTCAGATCTCGCAGCTGAATCTGTCGAGATTTGCGGACTACGTGAAAATCGTTATTCATGATTACGTGAACGATAAATTTATTCAATACACAACAATATCTTTGATATCGAAATACCTCGTTGTAATTAGTCAGTTCCTTTAGCGACGAATTTGAAGGTGGTGACTGCTCGAGGAGAATAACTAATGAAATGATGGGAAGGTGTCGAAAACAACGACTATAAAAAATGTATGGTCCTGCAATTGCTAGTTTATCATTGTGTAATTTTTCTTTCATTGCCTTTAGGAGAAAGCTGAGAGCGAGTTAAAGATGAACATGGAAGATGTCGAGGCCCAGTTGAGGTATTCTACGATGCTTTTTCATGATATAAACTGATTTAACGAAGTAGAAGAGCTAGTTAAGTCTGTAGTCAAAACAAAGAGGACCATTAATTCATAGCTTATTTCGGTTTCTGTAGCTTTAAGTGACTGGAAGAGTTCTCTCCCCCCACCCCCACCCCCCTAAATGGGATGCTAGTCCAACTCAGGTTACCCCCCAGTTTTTGGCCAGGTTTCCCTAATCATAACCATTTGCAGTCCTGGGTGGAGAGAGGCATGGTGAGAGTAGAGTGTCCTACCCAAGAACACATCACAACGACCCGGTCAGGTCTCGAACCCAGACCTCTCTTCTAAGAGCTCAGCCCGCTAACCGTAAGGCCGCCTTGTCTCCACCTTCAACGCACTCGGCGAGGTAAAGTCGGCAAAACAAAATTTCATACCTTATGTTTTTTTTCTTTTTCTTCTCACCAACAGTCACGCTTTAGAACAGAGCGGCCTCAAAGATAGAGAAATAAAGAGTCTACGGCGGCAGTTAGATTCCAGAGACGACGAATTGGCTGAAATGACAAGAGGGAGAGAAGTAGCTTTGAAAGAGAACAGGCGACTGCAGGCAGATCTTAACACGATGACTGAGGAACATCAGGTAAGCAAAGAGAGTAACTAGTGTTTCCATTCAGGTACACTCTCAAAGGGTAAAAGACGCTAACTACACTAACTAACAGAAGGCCAGCTACTCGTAATAATTTCAATAAACCTGCCTAATAGGGATGTCGTGTATATAAAGGAGAGTGGTAGATAGTTTCGCTCTGGAAAGTGTGTTATTTTTAGTTTCTATTTGAATTCATTAAGAGAGTTAGATTGTTTTATCTCCTTAGGCAGGCTTTTCCATGACACAGCCCCGCTATAGCTAAAGCTTAATTTAAAATAATTAGTGCGAGGCTGTGGAATGGATAGCTTGCAGACAGAAATAAAGCAGTCGAAACTCTTTAGACACTGCGACGCTTGAGGCATTGCTAATCCTAGCAGCTGAGTATGCAGGGCAAGTGTCACATTTGAACCTAGTCATTGTTTGGCTTACCGTTAACTCATTGACTTGGCTGGTAAACGCAGCGGTCGAACGTCAGGCATGCGCAAAGGGATCATTCAATTTGGCTAGCTGCGCGCCATTTCCCGCGAAAAATTTCATCGGAAAACATATGAAACAACTGCTGCCAAGTACAACATGTGAAAAATTTATAAATCTGTAAAAGCGAGACAGATGAAAAAAGGTACTTGTTGTTTCGCGAGTGTAAGTAAAGGAAATATTTTGAGTCCCTACTGAGAATCGAACCTCAGGCCTTTGGATTCCGCCCGTGATGTTCTACGCCTGATCCACAATGAACTCTTTGGTGAGCTAGGGCATCACGAGGTGGATATGTGAATCGCAGATAAAAGAACAGAAACTCTGGGTCCCTATGAGGAATCAAACCTTGACCTTAGAGCGGGAAAGATGTTCAGAATTTGTTCGTTGTGGGACAGACTGATAAAATGGTATGCCTATTTTCCAGTCCATTCATCAGCAACTTCAAGACGCTTTGGAAGAACAAGAGAGTTTAAAGGTACAAATAGCTGAGTACGCCAGACAAGTGGCTCGAGTGGAAGAACTTCTGGCTCAAAAGGTCGGTTCACCACAGTTAGATTTCTTCGTCGTAATATCATTGTCTTAGCAATGTTGTTCCATACAACATCCTTGAATCTTGGATCAAAAAAATCCTTCTTTTTAGCAAAATATCGTAAGTTTTTTGTGTTTGTTTGTGTTTTCGTCCCATTTATCTAAAGAGAAACATGAATTCTAAAAATTTTATCCGAGAAAAAGCGCCTCTCGATCTAGAGTCGTGGATCCAAACTCAACGTAACCGCATCGGCCAATAAGAACAAAGGGAAATGTTCGGAAAAGCCGATCAGGAATCGTGTTACAGGCGTCAGATGCGGGTGATCAAGTCGTGTTAGTTTTACTCTAACATTTGATTGGTTTTTGAGGTTGGCGCCGGAATTTTAGACCAATCATAGTGTAGAGTCAAGAGCGGGAAAATGCGGCTTACCAAGTCATATTGGTTTTGTTCTTACATCTTATTGGTTTAGAGGGTAGCATGAGATTTCTAGACCAATCACAGTGTGGAGTCAAGCGCGGGAAAACGCGGCTTACCAGGTCATATTGGTTTTATTCTTACATTTGACTGGTTTAGAGTGTGGCGCAGGAATTCTTTATGATTTCTGTATGCAGTAGAACAAACCCAGTGTAATCCCAGATTATTGCTACATTATTTTGACATTTGTCGCAGGAACAAGAAAAAGAGGAGCTTCTAGGGCAGTACCGAGTTCTGTCTGGTGAAACGGAGAGACTTGTCTCGGAGTCTAAGGCTTCTGCCGGACAAGTAAATAACTATCACATGGAACTAATACAGAAAGAACGCTCAGAGATGGAACTCAGCGATAAAATACGAAGGCTTGAAAGTGAAATACAACAGGTTAGTGGCGACAATTTATTTTATGCGTGTTTTTCGCTTTCGGGTTCACATAAAATTAATGTTGAGCGACTAGCTCCCTACTAGCGCAGACCATACTCTTTAAATCATAATAAAAATATACAGGAAGGCCTCTCTTAAAGGGAATAAAAAGAATTTATCGAGGATATTCAAGACTGTATGCTGCGGAAATTGGCGAGAAGGTGTACTACATTCTAGTTTCTGACCCATAGAAAAACATTTCATCATTCTTAAAGATAACGATGCTTCATATTGCAAAGGCAAACGCTAAAAAAATACAATTCTGTTTACGTAGTGGATGT